CGGTTTCGCGGGAAAAATGCGCACAAGTATTTTGTTGAGCGTCCTATTGCCGAGACATGTAGCTGTTGGGTTAGATTTCGGAGTCGGAGTGCATCGGCCTCGGTCATTGTATGCCGGTATCGTCTACCGAGGTAGGACAGCAGTGTAGATTACCTCGACTGTACAGAGCCATTCACATCCATTTTTACTGCCGAGTCCGTGCGGTCTACATCACGCATCCTGGGGAAGAATCGCACCACATACGTAAGTTCAATCGTAACAAAAATACCCATTGTTTAATAATACACGTACTATCATTAAGGGATTAATTTGGTTTTATTTAACATTTGTAGTGGATGCGTGAGATGGAGAAGTTGACTCGAGGTTGCATCGATGATTTGAAGAAGCTCGATGTCGGTCTAGGTGAGAAGTGGGATACTCGCCTGGATGATGTCATCTTCCGGTACAGTCAGGCCCCATGACATTCTACTTATGATGATTCTGTACAATTATGAAATGATTCTGTACTTATGAACAATATGCACTTATGTTTGTTTGCAATTTCAATTTTAATTTACGTCACCATCTGTACATCAATCTGGTGATCTCGCGCTGTATTGGCTCATCAGCAGCGTTCAATTCTTCCACTAACTGGCTGAACAACAATCTGTGAGGAGGAACATCATCCGAACCATCCTTCTCTGTAACCTCACCGATGTCACGTGTGCTCCAAAATTGGTGTAAGTATTTTGGAGTTAAAATATCGTTGGCCTCTATTACACGCTTAAGTATACATGCACAAGGGAGGGAATGAGTTTGTTTCAGGTAATGATTGCATTCCCAATATACATCATCTCCGAGTTGTTGCATCCTTTCTAATTCATTTTTCAATAGATCCAAGCAGTGGTGTGAAACATTGCATCTTAATTGGTAGAAAGGGTACTTGTTGTGTTGCCTCCCTATTTTCTGCCTTGATTCTTGCAATTTCTCCCTGTACAAGAATTCAAAAAAATTAATTAAACAACCTAAACACACAAATTAACTAAAAAGGGATCAACAGGCCTGTACCTTATTTGCGTAAGCTGTGTCTCCAGTAACATGTGAACCCTGTGCCACACCGTTTCAAAAGAAACATTTGGAATGACGAGCCATTCCTTTAACAACTTGTGTGCGCTCTCCACTCTACAGGTAGTGGTGTTGCCAAAATGCAAATAAGTGTTGGTCCATGTACGCACAAACTTGTGCGCCACCACTAACCATGTGTTCCTAACATACTGTAGAACGGCCTGAAATTGGATCCAATTATGCTCCAGAAACTGCACTCTTTCTTCGTATACGTCCCTGGTTTCAGCTTCGATCACTGCTTTGAAGGCATTATACGCGAAACTTTTTGCTGTATGAGCATTTCCATTCAAAATTCTTTTCACATTTCTTTCAACATCCCTGTAAACATGCCACGTACACAATAAGTGATGTGAAGATGGAAATACATCATCAAGAGGCCTCATCAGTCCAGGCTCCCGATCAGTCACGATGACACTCGGATGCATATCTTCGCCATACAAGTTACGGAGCTGCCACAGCGCCCAATGGTAGCTGTCCCCTGTCTCATCACTCAGAATGGCATATGCTATGAGGAATGTCTGATTGCAAGGGGTCATTCCAACAAACTCCACAAGAGGCAGTTTATATTTGTTTGTGTTGTATGTGGAATCTACACAAACAACCCAAGGATACGTCCGCAATAACAAGAATCCGGATGTGCGAAAAAGACGTGGGATAACCTCTGTGTCTCTTCATCGCACTCCGTGAAGATGATGTATTTGTGCTATTCTACGACCTCTAACACCTTTCCCACTACGTCCATGGCAGCCAGGTCATCTAGAATTGGAAACCCCGCCTTACGCAAAAAATTTTTGTAGTTGTAGACTTGTTTAGCGGTTACCTTTTCATCGGGAAATTGTGTCCATATCGCCCGTAAAATGTGGACTGCCTTAGTCCCAGCTTTGGAGTACTCTTTAATAAGCTCTTTTACTTCAGTACTCAATGACCTCCTGACTCGAGGTGGATCTTTCAATGAATGGTTGTGCATTCCCCACGGACCTGGATATACACGGATTGCCCACCTATCATACATCTTGTAAGTAGTAACACGAAACTGGCATCCGGTCATCTGTGTCTTTGTATTGGCTCGGGCCCGCACGTTTTCATCCACCTGTTCACCTTGGTACCGCCCCCCTTTATGACAAAGGAGTATAGTACTATTATCCTTATGCGAGGATATACTTAACACCATATTGTAGATGTTCGCAATACCCTTCGCATATTCAATAGCTTCCGTGTTCGTTGTGAAAGTCTCAAATCGTAGCAAAAGCCGCACTATAATCGATTCCATCCCCCTGATCAAAACTATTCTGCACACACACATTAAAAACAAATTATATCATAACTTAAGTTAACTCTAACATTGTTAAACCACGATTAATTTGATATGAGTAAACATTGTTATAGAATCCGATATAATGATCTTTTACTTTAAAGATAATTAATATATACTAATAACTAACTAAAAATATTATTAATAAAAACTCATTATTTTAACAAATATCCTAATCCCTAACAACTATACGTATTAACATACAACCTAAATACCCATTTAACAAGAAACAAAGTATTTCTTACGAGCATACTACGTAATTAACATATAACAGTATACGTAATTAAAAAACATTCTCTAAATATCTAGCATAAACCCTAATTTTCTAAACATATATTCAACTACAAAACAAATACTCAAATAAAATAAATACATGAATTAATTAAATTTGTTAAACTAATAATAATAATTTTTAAACTAATAAATATTAAATATATTAAAAAATTTAAAAAAAAAAAAATTGGCTGGCGCCCGTTTGGGCGCCACCAACACGGTGATTGGCGAGCATTTGCTCGCCAACCATGAGAGAGAGGTGGCGCCGAATATGGCGCCACCGCCTTCGCCATTGGCGAAGGCTTGCCTCGCCTCCCCTTACAGGGGAGGCGAGCTTATTGCACGCCATCCCCTTTGGGGATGGCGTGTTTCTCCAGCACCAGCCATTAACGGTTGGCGCGTTTCTCCCTCGTCACCCCCCTTTTTCCGGAAAAAAAAAAACTTACCTTCATTTTCAGGGGCGTGTTGGTCTTTCGCGGGCGCTCAAATGAAAAAATAAGGACGTTCAACAGTTCGATCCATAAAGAAAGAGAGAGACTGAGTCTTGTATTAATATCGAAATAAATAACAAACTAAAACCCAACTTGCAAGTTGAAATGATGGAATTTTTTATTTATTATTATTATTTTTTTTTGGTACAAGAAATGATGGAAATTTAAGTGGACGGTAGGTAACACATTTGGCCACTTCTGGCACATGAATAATGTATTGTTTGACTTCTTTCCGAGACGACTCAATTTCACGCCATTGAGGAATTCATTCTAATGGCACCAACATAAGAAGATAATAATTTCTTATACAAACCTTACTTACATTTACAATTCGAACAAACATGATCATTTGATCTGATTAGTACTTTTAATTACCACGTTTATATAGCAAAAAATCACACATAAATAACGTAATTAACACAACAGGTTTATAACACTCCAACCCAGATTGAACCGTGATTTAATTCTGTGGAAAAATAAATTAAGCATGATTAGATACGTACATAGGCGCTAAGCAGGCTTGTAATGTATCCTTAATCTAGAAGAAGGTATACGTACGTACTAGATCCTCGTATGTAAAGGTTGTAGTTTGGCATTCAGAATGTGTCAAATAATTAAGGCGTACATTACATCATAAGATTCATTGTAATTTCGGCTTGTTGCTTTCCATACACTTTAATTAATGAATTTTTGGCATGACTTTGTAAAAATCATCTTAGGTAAGCATGTCATAAATACCTGTGAACAACTTGTACACCTTAGAACAAGCCTACGTAATTGTGAGACTAAGAACTCAAGAGTTTGATAAATCTTCCCAAATTACGATAAGGTTAAAGCCTCCTGTTTTTAACAAGTTACAGCCTTAAGAGAGTAAGTAAGAAATTACACTATTAATCATTTTCAGAAAAGGAAAAGGAAATGATATCTTTTTAACTAGTTTCTTACATTGGTGTTCTAATTAATTTATTCTTGTTCGTCATTATCAAAATATTTCAACACAATCATCCTAAATTCATTTTCGTTCTAAACAATGAACTTTGAATCAGTTAGTCAAAATCATAATATTAGCTAGGTACAAGTCATGACGAGCGTACATAGGTTAAAACAGATCCCTCAAAAACATCTTTCGAATCGATATTTCTGGACGAGAATAACTTCCGACATGAGTAATGTGCTCGATTTAGACAGAGAAAAACAATTTTGACCGAGTCATACATCTATTTGTTCTTGATTAATTGGACTGAAAAAAGTGAAGTTAAAGAGAGAATTATTTGAATGGCATTCATAACGAAGTTAAGAGATCCCATAGAGGTGACATGGAATCACACCCCTTATCATCTAGCTTTTTTCTCTTAATGTTGTTGAATCAACAATTTGAAGTTAGTGTATCAAAGATGATTAACGACATTTAGTTCATTGTGAAGCCAATTCCGAGGTAGGTGACCAGCATCTAAATATAATGTGAAAGTTAAAACTAAATTAGGAGGGGCAGTTTTTTAAAATAAGATACTCTCATTTTGAAAGTCTCATTTTGGGACGAAGAGAATAGATATATTCCGCGTCAAAGCAAATAAGAGATGCTAGATTTTTCAACCATCACAACATGCAGATTAGTACAGCTGACTTAGTTAAACAAGTGTTAACACAACATCAATAAGCAGCCTTATTAGTTTACCTAAATATTCCAAGCCCTTCCCCTCCTCCCAATTAAAATTTTATTAATAACATTGATTACAAACCCATAAGCCTAGAGAATTCTCAACCTTTTGAGACTATAAATACCCTTCTTCCTTCACAAAACCCATACAACACCACACCAAAAACTATTGATCAAATTCTTTGTAAACAATTCAAAGATTTGATCAACACTACACAGACAATTTGATTTGATTTCATAGCTATTCAAATGGCTTCAAAAGGTGTTGTCAAGATAAGCCTAGTGTTGGTCTTAATGACCGTGCTTTCGAATGGTGCTATGTCTCAGTCGGATTGCACTAGCACGATTGTCACCATGTCTTCATGCTTGAACTACATCCAAGGATCAACTCAAACTCCGTCAGGTTCTTGCTGTTCGGCTCTCGAGAACGTTATTAAAACAAACCCTAGATGCCTGTGCCAAGTGCTTGATGGTGGTTCTCAATTTGGGATCACTATTAATGTTACTCGTGCCCTAGCACTTCCTGCTGCATGCAAAGTTCAAACACCTCCAGTTAGTAGATGCAAAGGTAATTTATCAAGTCTTAAAATACACTCTCTCGTCCCAAAATTATTATCTTGTTTGGATTTTTATTTTTAGTACAGATTAAATTAAAAATAAATAAATTGGACAATAATTTTGAAACATGAGAAATACTTGTTTGAGAAATTACATTATTATTTTTGGATAGAAGTTAGGAATAATTGCTCAATTTTGTTTCATTTTTACATTTTGCAAGACACGTTTTAGGTTTTCGACACAATACTTTTGCAGATTTCTAATCAAGATTACATTTATAATTTAAAAAAAAAAAAAAAAACCTTTTGTTTACATTTCTTAACTGATTGATGACATATGGGGTTCTATAGGTGGAGTTGCACCTGCACCAGGACCGGATGCAGAAGGTCCATCAATGCCAGGTACGCTATGCAACGGAGAAAGTTAGATGATTTGAACTTTATTTTTTTATTTTTTTATTTTTTTGGGGTTTTGAGTAACATATCAAGTGGAAAACTCCATGAACATCACAAGCTACAACAAAAGTAATATATGAACATTATAGGGTGTATGTATATAGTTGATCATTTGGGAACAAAAAATTTTATGTGTCTTAATCCGATTACTGGATCGATCTATTGTGAAATAATGTTTTTATTTGTAAATTCGTGCATGCAGGATCAAAGGCAACTCCAGGAAGTGATTCATCATCGACTAGGGTTACAAACAGCAACATGATTTACCTTCAAGTTGTTGGCTTCCTTGTGTTGTTCGTTTCGTCGTGTGTTTCAAAATTCAACTTCATCTGAGTTTTCCATACATTTATGTGTCAACCGAAATATAAGTTATACTCTCTCGGTTCTAAAAATGATTGACCGATTTCTTCTCTATGGACAGGGAGAGTATACTAGTTAATTAGCTTGATTTCATACTTCCCCGAGTGTGTTTTCTTATTATTGATTTTGAAATTACGATTTTTGAGTCCACTTTTGTACTTGTGATGTGAGCCGATTATTGTACTTTTATGTACCAATTTATACTTGATTTTCAATATATACAATAATCTTATTTAGTCTATGGATTGTACGTAATAATCATTTTCTTAAACTTATTATAATTGTATGGGCCGGACTATATTATACATGTCTATGATGATTTAAAAATAAATATATGACAGAAAATAGTCTCTAAGTCCGCTTACTCCTTTTGTTAGATCATCAATTACAAAAGTCACTCACAATTGGCGCAAATGCCAGCTCGTAAATTTTTAGTTAAGTAGTTGAACTAAAAATGTAAGTAAAATGTATACCTAAAAAATCGCATCTAATTTTATCTTTTAAAAGTTCTATTCGATTTGAATTCAGATTAGCCAGTTCAGAATAACCGGATGTAACTTCCAAGACCATGCATGTTGCTTCTTTCAATCTCAATTAGCTAGTATGCCTGACATACTACAACTACTAGTCTAAGCTTTAATTTCCCAATATCTGCTTTATGAAGTCATGAAGTACACAATTGGAGGGAATGAATTAATTCTCCAGCTTCTCTTATTGGTCCAGCTAAAGATATATGCACTAAGTAATAAGCTGCTGAGCAGATCATAAATTCAACCAGAATCTCCATACTTAATATTTACAGAATCATGAAGGAAAGCACGAAGACAGAATTGAACTTACACGAAGATGGAAAATGATGAGATAATGAGCTTGGTCTGGACCCGCTGTCATGGTGATGAAATCGGAAAAACAAGCCCTTTTGTTGTTTGTTCAACGCTACATTAATTGCTTTCGTATTTATAGAGCAAATTTTACATTTGTGTTTTATAAACAGGAACGGATAAGAGTTACTCGATAACGTTTGTATGAATGTTCTAATTTTCTATCAATAATTCTATAGATTCGGTCAATGTTGAATTTTCCGGTGAGTATTGCCCGTCTCGAAGTAGCTCGTGAAAAATATCAATGATCTTGTGGAAACAATAGGGCCGTGACACTCTACTATTTGTCCATTTTTTCTTTCCTTTTCCTCCTCTGGTTATTATGCTTAAGTTCATTTAGGTTAGAGCCAATAAAAATTAAAGTATATTTCCAAAACAACTGTTTTCCTAAACAATTTAATACTCCTTTATATGTATATACATATAATCAACAAAGTATTAAAAACTATTGTTAATGACGACGGTGGACACATAAGAATATTTGTACAACGAAGTTCAAAATTATCACAAGAACGAAGAAGGCCCAGAACGGTTTCCAAACAATTTTTCTTCTTGGAATTTAGAGCGTAACATTATAATTTGGTATTTGCACGAGTTGAGATGAGCCATCATTTTTGTCAGCAAAAATATGATCTGCGAGACTCCTTGGAATAGACCAAATAAATCTGATAACAGCCTAATAATTTGTCAAAAACAGATAGCCCACAAGTGACACTGGTGTATAGTTCGTTTTTGGGCCTTTTGGTAGCTCATTCTGCAAATTCACCAACCATTTCTTCCTTCGTTTCATACTCATGTCCATTTAACCAAAAGGGTTGTGGTAAAATGGTAAAAACTGCTCCAGTTTACATGGATCGAGGGTTAGACCTCACCATTGGAGTGGAGCAACCTTAAATCTTATGCCTAGTTCTCTCACCTATCGAAATGTCTACTATGATCAAGGGAAATTAGTCAGTGTTACCGATGATGGACACTATGCAATAAAAAAAAATTATAGAAAAAAAACTCCTGTCCATTTGTCTTTCTTTCCACAATAAATGGGGGAGATGAAAACTCTGCGTGTACTCGGTGACTAGGAGTCTAGAACAAAGATATTGTTCCACCTGTTTTATGTTTTTTAGAGGGAAATAAAAGAGGGATAAGTCGTCCTATAAAATTCAGGATTTTTATCGAATTTATCATATGTCTTAACCGTGTGAAATAAGATTCATTTATTTGTTACATATATTCAAAAACATACCTATTACCTAAGCATAAATTACATCCAGTTTAATCTTGTTTGTTGAGGGACACGTTGATGGAAATTCCTTGAACTTTCTCAGATGATGACATAAACAAGCTCCAAAACATTTGAACTGCTTGATGTTTTTAGGAATTAGGTTACTACTTACCCCAATAAAAGATTGAAAATTAAGGCAAATAATGTGATTCAATCACCGACTCACCGGTATAACTAACCATTTCTTTTAATCTTAACTCACACAAAAGTCCAATTCAAACCTCTGAATTTTGCCTCTTTTTCAATGTCCAAACAGAACTTGTAGGGCTCGTGTCCTGTTCATAGTGGTTCAAAATCCCAGATTAATGTAAAAGAGTAGGAAAGTTTGGTTAACTACATATTCTTATTCTATTGTTTTGACTATTTGTCCTAGCCACCTTTATAAACCCTCTTACATCCATACACTTCTCTTCACCACAGCAGATTTTGTAGTATCATCAATTCAATATCAGATTTTTACAGCTTTCTGTCAAGTTTCCTTCTTTCAGATTTGATCAATTCTCAATGGCAAATCAAAGAATGGAAATGGGATTAGCCCTTTTTGTAGTTTCCATGATCTTGGCAGGAGCAAATGCTCAGTCTAATACTGATTGTACTCAGGTGATAATCAGCATGTCCCCCTGTCTGAGCTACATTCAGGGGAACTCCACAACTCCAGCTTCAGGTTGCTGTACTCAGCTTGAAACCGTCGTTCGCTCCCAGCCGCAATGCTTGTGTCAGGTTCTTAATGGTGGATCTTCCCTTGGGATCAACATTAATCAGACTCAGGCCCTGGCTTTACCAAAAGCCTGCAATGTTCAAACTCCAGGAGCCAGCCAGTGCAAAAGCAGTGGTAAACTTGATAGCTGAATCATAAACTTTTGGCAAATCCTTGGAAAAAAAATGTTGAGATTGTGCATGTTTGGACCGCTGCTAACTTCTGTTTTCAATTTTATGCAGGTGGATCTCCTGCATCATCTCCTGGTGCAGCTCCCGGTACTCCCAGCACGGTTCCATCAGGTATGGCTCCGTTTTATAGTATGAATAAAGGAAACAAGATCTCCATATATACTCATGTAACTCGTCAGTTGTGCTTACAATCGATGTCTTCCAGGACGTGGCAGTGATGCAGTACCATCAACAAATAATGGCTCCTCAGATGCTACTTCTATCAAATTAGCAGCCCCTGTTTTGTTCTGCCTTCTGTTCGTTGCATCATATGCTTCAACCTTCTGAGGTCTCCAATGAGCATCATAGATCGAATTCATATTGCTGCTACTGCTATTTTCTGCTTCAGTTTAGCTGTGTTTAGGTTGAGATTGTTCAGGTTCCTTACAGAGTTGATTTGTCCATCTTTGAGCTATTCTTTTTACCTGACCTGCTTCATGGGTCGCACATGGTTTTGTATTTAGATTGTGTTCCAACATTTATGCATAAATAAAAGAGATGATCTTTTTTTTATATATGCTTCAACTCTGTAACGTGTAGACTGTTGTTTACACATTATGCAAACCTAACAAGAATGATCGAAACGGAACATGAACTATAACATACACCTATTGCCTTTTGTCAAAAGGCTATAAAAAGTAGTAATAAACAAGACTCCATGAAATGGCCTCACTTTCAGTTAGATGTCAAAAGGGGCAATCTGCAAATTAGCTCATATAAAAGAAGATCAAGTAACAGCCAGCTGATTGCATTCAAAGAGCTAAACTTCGAAATTGCCCAGAATTTTTTACACGGCATAGATGAAGAAGAGGAGATACAAAGGAAAAATCAGAAAAACGAAAGACAAGCTTCAGATAACACAACAAACTAATAATATTGCCCAGAAACATCGAATGGGATTTCCATTTCCAGTTTCGAAAATTGTTCTACAGTTGAGAAGCTAATATCCCCCTTCACGTTCTGCACCAGCACATTTCAGAAGTCATACGGTCTCACTAAATGCACAAGAACAATTACCCTGGCCTTGTGACGCATATTGCACAATCCACATCTTCTTGCACCCTTTCAATCATAAAAAAAAAAGCATGCAGTCGATCCACAAGGTTGACTTAATTCCATAGACAATAGATCTGCCAACATCCAAATCAACACCCTATCATATCAACATTTTTTGCCCTTGAACAACCCGACAACTAAACTTTTGAAGACAAAATTGAAACCAGAAGTTCCATCAGAAAACAAATTCATACTGCAAGGAGAATGGAGAAAGAAGATAGATGTACAAACTTTTCCCAACGGCTTGGCAACTAAAATAGACATTAAGTTTAGCTTATTCAAGAGCTCGTTACTTTTCAGAAGCAAGACATACAAAACAAAGCAGTTGTTTCATAGCTTAACCAGTAAAGAAGTCCCCATGGCCATAAACTGGCATCCATTTAGTTAAGCTATATAATAAAACAGGGTGAGGCTTCTCAACTTCTCCAAATCAGAGCCAGAAATAGGATTAACAGCGAAGGTAAGTAAAAGGCCAACTATGAGAACTAGGATAAAATACTCCATTTCCACACCTCAGCGTGATCGAGATCGTATAAATTCTTCCAGCCTGTCCCAAACTTCAAGTGCAGCAGCTCTATCTTGGTGACGTTTGTTCTTGCTAATCTGAAATGTTAAAATTAATTCAGGTTCATATACCGACACACTAATCATTCTTTAGCCGATGGTTCAAAAAAAAGGTAGTTCACAACCAAGAATGCGGCTGTTTTTCCAGTAATCATGGATGAAGCAGTAATTGAACCATAAAATCCTCACCGATATGATCTTCACATTCCACTGCTTCACAACTTTCGCAGACTCCACACTATCATCCTCAAATCTCAAGTAAAATCCAAGAACTGTAGGAGGCAAAGCAACAGAATTCGGTAGTCAGAATCCTCAGTTAAAACAATTACATATCAAAAGTTATCAAAGAACACTGCCAAAATATAACAACATCATTATGACAAAATCTGCATTCCATAGTCTATAGCAGTCATCTTTACTCAGTTCTACCAAGACAACAACAATCCAAAAATATATTAAACACTTGATTCAATAAAACATATAAAAAAACCATTGAATAAGTAAATGAATCTCAACTCACTTTTATTGAAAATCTCCACATGATCCTTGAAAGGCCAGTCTTTGAACTGCCACTCCTTCCCCAACACGAAAACAGCTACCACACGATCCCAATCCTCAGGCTTCAAAGCAGACGGCTTATCCCTAACCTCGTAAGCAGTAACCGCCCGATCCCTGCTAAATTTGTTCTGCACAGTCACACAATCCGACTTCACAACCTTCTGATTCACCTTCACATCAGTAGGAACGAACACCCCGTCCTCCAAAAAATCCTTCACATTATACATAGTAATCAATGTAGAAAATGCACTGGGCACCAAAATAATCGGAACCCCTTCCCCAATTTTGCTCCCTTTGAGATGCAATTTCGTCTTCTGAGCTCCATCAAAACCTAACCCTAGGCCCACATCCTCCGCGCCCCTTTCAATCCTGCTCTTAGCTACTAAATTATCCTTCCTCTGCAAAGCCTCAGCTCTCTGCCGCTCCTCGTCCCTCTTCGTTGCCGCCGTCAGAACACTATAAAAGTCACGATTCTTACAGCACAAAATTTGCTCCTTATCCTTCAAAGGCCTCTCCATGGACTTGATCCACTTGACTGGGTTCACCATCGGATCAATTTCTTTCTCATCGTTCGCGTAAATTTGACCTTCCCCGTCAGCTTCGCCGGGAGGAGCGGCGTTCAAGTCCCGGAGAGTATTGTAAACAACCTTAGCGGAAACGTCAATGGAACTGGAGGACTCGATTCTCCCGGTGAGGTAATCGAGGAGCTCTTTCCGGTCCGGCAAGGTGACGCCGGAAATGGCAAGTTGACGAGCATTGGCGAAGTATTCCGCGTGCCGGAGGTGTTGGTTGGTGACGAAGTGTACTAGGGATTCTAGGGTGTAATGTTGTCCACTCTTGGAGCGGTAGGCCGTTTCCGCCGTTGCCGGAAAGAGGTAATCGTCGCCGAAACGGAATTCGTTGCCGGAACGAGTGATTTTGTCGAGGTTGTTGTCGATGGTGTATTGCCGGAGAGCGGTGAGTGGATCCATCTCTCCCAGGTTGTGTTTTACGGCGTCGTCGGACTGTGTTTCTTCTCCTTATATACTACCAACTCAAGTCAAAAGTCAAAAGAGTCTTTACCAGAATATAATACCAGTAACGAAAGCACGCCTTCCCGTCTCCAATTCAAAAATTATTCTTTTAACCACGAGATAATTCTAAGCGAACACATATCACATTTAGATTATTAACTCTCGTTCAATACGAATACGTAAAACTCTCCGAAATACCAACAAGTATTTTTATCATCACAGAATGCGCATAAGTACATGTCGATGTTTGAATCCAACTTTAAGGCATAACTAAATTGATCAAATATCGTTACTTACTTAAATCGAGTATTTATTATCTAAAAAAAAATATAAAAGAAAACACAATTACGTTGAGTTTACATTTATAATTGTGTAAATAATTTTGCTCTTCTTCATAATGAGAATCAAACATAGATCACTCATTTTATTCTAATGACTAATGACTTCGCGCTGATCAGCGGACGCATTTTGATTGAAGTATTATTGATTGAAATTTATGATTGAGTAAGAACAAGTCACTTGTACCTTGTGATTTCAATGTAAGTATTGAATTTCCTTTTCAAAAGCAAGACTTTTGAATCTTCTAATGTAGTTTCTTCTTCTATTTTCTCAAACACAAAGTTACAATGCAAGATTATTCTATTGTTTTCACAAATCAAAGATTTTTTTTTTTCCCCCATTGAAGTGCCTTGTTCTCAATATTTTGTTACACACAATGTATATGACCTATATGTCCTAAACAATTTCGATTTTGATATTCTTTTTGTCCTTCCCTCGAAGTGCTTAATAATAAACAAAATTATTTTAATATTTTTTATCCCCAACATATGCATTTTAGAAATCAAAAGGAACCTAAAAAAATAGAGGTTGGTGTGCTAAAATGATTATCTCCCCAGAGTTTATTTGAAGATTCCACTTGCTTATTGTATATTTTGTTGTTTTACCTTATAACATTAGTAGAATCTTTTGTAAAGTTCGAATCATGAGACTGAGAGATGATTTACTTTGTTTCACATGGAATGGAAAAATATCAATTTTCATCCAAAAAAAAACATATGCATTTTATTCTTTTTATCCTCTATATTTGGATGCAGGTTACAACGAAATAATCCACTTCTTTTTTCCCCGTAAATGACATATATTTAGTTTTTTTTTTTTTTTTTGGGCAATGGGGGCATTTGCTCTTATATTCAATTAAAATGGACACATAAATATTTCGGTAGCAGTTGCATTATAATTATTACACAGCAACGCCATTACAGTGAAGCCTCTCTCTTCAGAACGACCCGACAAATGGCAAGCAAATATCAACCCCACCCGTTCGGAACTGACATGGACTCACTGCTGAAATCCGCCAAATCCTTCCTCTCCCACCGGAATTTCGAAGAGTGCCGGAAATACGCCACCAAGGCCCTAGAAATTAACCCGAAACATCCAGGTCCCGCCCAGCTTCTCGCTATAGCTGCCATTCTTTCCGTTTGTCCTCCCTCACCGACCCAAACCCAACTGTCGGACCCGGACTGGTATTCCGTTCTCAACCTCCCCCGTTTCAGTCGAGATCTCAACGCTATTCGATCCAATTTCGGGCTCCTGTACGGGATTGTAAACCCTGAGCAAAACCCTAACCCATTTGCCGCCGAGGCTCGTGAATGGGTTCTTAAAGCAGGGGAGGTTTTAGGCGACCCGGATTCGAAAGCCCAGTTTGACAGAGATTTGAGAACCCGAACAGAAGATTCCGGGAAGGGTTCAGGCGGGACCTTTTGGACGGTGTGTCCTTACTGTTACTTCATGTACGAGTACGAGAACGGGTTTCTGGACTGTGCTATTCGGTGTTCTAACCCGAATTGCAGAAGGCCCTTTGCGGCGGCGGCTGTGGCGGCGTCGGCGGCGCCCAGGCCGGAGGTTGTGGAAAGGGGAAAGTATGCATGTGCTGGGTTCATACCGCTTCGTACTAATCATAAGGAAACCGATGAAGATCAAGGTTGGAAATGGTGGGATGCGTTTGCTTCAATGGGTTCGGATTCTGGTTCGGTTTCGGACACGGGTTTGATTGACAGAAAAAGACAAGGTGCAGGGCTGAAAAGGAAGGCTAGAAAGTCCCATGTTGTGATTGATCTTAGTGATGATGGTGATGATGGTGAAAAGGGAGGTGAGGAAATTAAGAAAATAGGTCATGTTAATGAAATGGTAAGGAAGAAGAAGAAGAAGAAACAGGCAGCTATGGGGAAGAAGAAAGTGATGGGAAAAGGGATTAGGCCAAAGTGGAATCATCCTGGTTTAGTTGAAGGGAAAGAAATTGTTGAAGGATCTGGGTTGCAGTTTTGTGCAGGAGAAGATGACATTTTTGTGTCTTTGGATACTGATCTGGGCTTTGGAGCATTAGGTGATTGGTGATGATGACTGATGAGATTTTACAAGCTTTTTTATGGTTTTCCAGGAAAAAAAAAAGAATGGTTCTTGGGATTAATCTTACTCCGGTTGGTAAATGTTGAGGAAGATGGTGGTGTTTAGAACTATCTTGTAGAGAAAAATGTTCATATTGACTGGAATTAACGACCATTTTAGTAGTAGTAGTAGTAACTAAGTAGTAATGGAAATGATCCTAATTCTACCTTTTTTTTTGTGTGTGTGTGTGTTCTTTTAGCTTCAATAGATATGCTCATTTCCAGACATTGGATCCAACACATTATAAGATGCAATTCATAGAACACTAGAATTGGTACACACCAAAAAGAAACTAAACATTAAAGCGAACACAAAACTACAAAGCAGCACAATTTTCACAATCTAGAGCATCAAGTGATACATTTGTGCCATCATTCAATCTTCAACAGATTGCATCACTACTCTAGAACATAAATCCTATCTTTGTTTTTCTTGTTCCCTGAAGATTTCTCAATCGCAAATGAAGTAGTTCACCTGAGGATCAGTTGAAAGAATGCTGAACATAACCATGTCTCTTGGTACTTTTCCTTTAAGAAGATAATACTTCCTAAGAACACCTTCACGAGTAAAACCGGCCTTTTCTAACACCCTCTGCGACCCAATATTCTCCACATCCACCACAGCTTCCAGCCTCTCCAGATGAGGCCACTCCAGAAACACAGAGGAAGTCACCATTTTCACAGCCTTGGTCGTAATCCCTTTGCCCCAATATTTGGATCCCAACACGTATCCAATTTCGGCCCGGCAACGATCATTTCCCCGGCATGGCGAGACAGAAATGTACCCAATCGGCTTGCCCTTCAGGCAAATGGCTCTATTCCATGGACGAGGGATCAGATTTTTAGCTACATAGCTGATGGCTGCCTCCCTGGAAGGGAAACAATCCCACGAGCAAAACTTAGCCACCTTTTCATCGGTAAACCATTCCATGAAGTCGTCGACGTCGGACAAATCAAGCAACCTTAGGGTAATGTCGGAATAATCATCAGCAACTGAACCCTGTTGAATATCTTGACTACCTGATTGTTGTTGTTGACCAATCTCCATATCTTTTTTTTTTTTCGCTTCCTTTTCCCAAGTCTCCAAATTCGCAAAATCTACTGTTTGTTATGTAAGCTTTTGGGCTCGGAGAGGATGTATTTATATTTGTGAAGTAGTAACATCGAAATTGCCGATTCGGAACAAAGGTTTTAGACTCGAGTCAACGGAAGATAACAAATTTGTGAAATATGAAGACATTTGTACCGAGTAGTCAAGCAGTCGGGCAGATAACGACAGCTCCCAAGCGTATTTCCCGAATCTTTCACAAAAACGGCTATCATCGTTCAGAATGAAGACCAAAAATATGGGTTCGTGCGTTCCAAAAATAATGATCCTATATAAAAGTTTTATTAGCTCTTGTTATAGTTATTCACTTATCATTGTTATCTTTTTGCTGTGCAAAAGGGTATGTAATTAGTGGTGATGTCTTAAATTTTTAATAGATTTTCGCACTCCCTATATTAATTTCTTAACTCATTAGCAGGTTTTTGGCTAAATTTTGCACCCCCTATCTCGATTTTCTGGCTCCGCCATTGTGTGTATTATAAATAATCCAATAAAAAGTCCGTAGTATAGCTTCTAAATTATACACTAATATGTCAGACACTCATTACATTATGAGTTAGCTCTCTAATAAGATTTAATGGTGGCAAATCCAGGGCGTGTGACGTGCGTGTCTTGGATTGATTGCGGTCTATGATGTCAGAAAGTAGGCTTCAAAATTACGTTTATTTATGGGCATGGATTAGTCGTAAAATTCAATCTCGCTTTGTAAATTAGTTAAATTTAATTTCAATTCAACTAGCAAGTAGAAAATTTAAATTGGGTAGTATTAGTGCACGAAGCCTCTAAAGTATGGTATCCGTCGTCTAAGCAAAGGAAATCAGCACAAATTCTTGCGTCCCCAAATTTCGACTTCATAAATCGATCAATAATGTCCACGAGTCATTGTTGGTCCAATTCGATGAACGTACCAACGTTTTCCTAGTGTTAAATTGATTTACGTGCAGTTGATCAAATGGCTTATCCACATGAATTCAAAGTTGGAACTTTAGAAGCACCAATTCATAATGATTGAGAACAGAGAAGAATAATGTTGATTCAATTTTTGCTTTCACCTGAGGAATGAGGATCCTCTAATGTATCTTTGATTCATTTTGTATGCTTATTATAGTGACATTGTATGAACATCAAGACTGACATAACGCTATTGGGTTTTCAGTGTCACCCGAGTGCATTGTATGACAAGACAACGGTAAAACGCACTTGTTAATTCAAGTGATACGGAGATTGAGTCTATTATTGAATTCTCCGTCGTTGTTCCCCCAAAAAAAAAAAAAAATCTATTATTGAGTTTTTAATTTTATACTAAAATTAGTATAAATATTAAAATTCAACTTTAAACTTTTTTTTTTAGGGAGGGTAAGTTTGAGTGTCCATTCTCAGATCGTTAGGTGGAGACTAGTCTATATTTGAATATTGAAAGTGCTCACCCGGAACACCTGGCATTTATTTATTAGCAAAAAAACAATAAAAACCAAGCAAAAAAGAAAAAAATAATAAAAATACAGTACATAGGCTACACATCCAAAGTTAACTTACTTCCTAGGCTATACAACACTAGTTATGTTTTCCCGCCAAAACTCAGGGAAAGAAAAAAAATTGAATTAGTATTAGGAATTCTTGTGGGGCCCATGTAACAGATGGACCAAAATAGCCCACATAAGGTACTATTTTGCAACCAAAACCATCACCGTAAAATATACAAATAACCATAGTAAAATGTACAATGGTACTGGAACTTTGGTTATCGTTACACAAAATCATTTACCTGGATACCAGAACTTCACAAATCAGTCTTAATTACACTACGCCTAATTTTTATTTTTTTTTTCCATAACAAACATATCTAGTGTGTGAGTGTGTGTACGGATGGTTTAGGTGGTGTGAAAACAGTAGCAAAATTCCAACACATTTGTATAAAGCGACAAAACTTAAACCCTCCATAAACCCACCCCCTCTCTCCTTCACTGTTCTCCGATCAATGTCCGGCTGTACGAACTTCTTCCGCAACATATTCTCGGTAAGATCTCTCTCTTTTCTGTTGTTGGTTTTTTTTTTAATGTAGTTTGATGGGATTTTGAAATCTAATCGTGGGTTCTTCTCATTTGATTCTCTTCTGGTGGTGCAGAAAAAGGAACCAACGACGGATGAAGGAATGACGTCGGAATCGTACGCCTCACTAGTCCCACAACCACCCCATCATCCGGCCCGCTCCCCCACCCAACTACTACTAGCGATCCACAACCAGGAATTGTAGAGGGAAACGCTGATGGGTCATCAACTTCAAGCAAAATTGTGGTGGAAAAGGCTGATGATGGGTTATCAAGCGAAATTTCAATTCACGTGGGCGAAGCAATTGATGGGCCAGCTACTAGGCAGAGTGTCAGTGCAGTGAAGCGGTTTCTCGCCTTCGTTCTTCAACCCTTTCCGCGTCCAGCTGCACCAGGTTTGAAGGATTAGTTTCATGAGCGTTCTTGAATAATTCAGATTTTAGCTTCAAATGACAGTATAACTGTATAAGATGTTGATAATTTTGTTGTTTCATAATCTCCTGGGTTATACAGTAATTAGTGCGCAAATTTCTTTCTATATTAAGCAGTGATGAGGCTGCCCTGTGTATTGTATACAGTTTGGTTCTCGATTTCAGCGTCAGATGCAAATTTAATTGGTGACGTTTTTGTTCAGTGAATTATTCTGGTTTCTGCAAATTTACTCCTTATGATAACACCACTGTTTGTGTTTCTGTGACAGCAACGGATGTCCACCCACGCTTTTTACCTAAGATGATGATGGACCAATTTGTTCGACTGGTGATGGATTAGTGAGGGAAAGGCGTGTTCTCCGAACAGAAGTTATGAGCATCATCTCGGATTTAACTACAAATGTGCTTGCTATCTATGAGATAGCGTGGGGCGGCGTTGTGGTTAGTATCTTAACATGTCACGACATTACAAGAGCCTCATACTTACTCTCCGCTGTGTTCTTTTGCGCTTGCCCACTTCCTCTCACCATGGCATTAATCAAGCTGATTATGAAAGAGAGGGATTGCCGTCATCTAAGCAGTCGGCAGCTGGAATATGAGGAAAAATTGACAGTATTCAACAAGTCCTATCAATCTAGTTTGGTACAAGCAACAAGTCCCCTGTCAGTGAAAATTCCTGAGTCTTTTGATGCAAGGTTAAACTATCTTAGAAGAGCCACGATGGGTACGGTGAATGTCGGGAAACATTATGTCTTTTACCTCCTTGTACTAGTCTTTGCTGTTGCTATGGGGCTACTTATGCCGGTCATTGTGAAGTTCGTCCTCAGTCATGGTAAGTTTGACATCTCTAATTTCATTAATGTAAAATATTAACAATGTATTAAACCTCTAACATTCTGAGTTTTTCCATGAATTTAGTACCACAAGATGATGATCTGGACTATGTTTCTTCTACACCTCTATTGAGTGTACTTGGTAAAATTCATCACCGTTGTTTTCCTATTGGTGGCAACAAGAGAGGCATTTAGTGTAAGTTTCATTTTTCTCTTACTTTTAATAGATGAAGTTGTATATTATTGACTTCTTCATTTAGTATTGCTGTTTGTAGCCATCAAATGACACAGATTTCTGGTAGATGAATCATCATATGAGTTAGACTGAAATTCCTTTGCGTTCATTATGATTAACAACTTCAATTTCACCGACTTATTGATTACTTCAGAAGCTGTTTGCCTGTCATGATTAAAATTTCCATGTGGTTTTACTTTGATCCTACATATATAATCCTAATGCTTCAGTTTCTGCATTTTTGTTATATTGGATTAAGATATAATTGGCTATGTGGTTATGCCATCTTGCTCGCAAACTATAATTCAAATAGGAGGTTATTGCATGATTACAATGTACATTATGAATGCACTTTATTGAATGCAATAAAAAAAATTTAGGATTTGATGTCCGCATTACCTCTGCTGTGAAATTCCTTCAAGAAGATGCTATGTCATTTGATGTCAGATGCCTTTCAATCTATATGATTTACACATACAGAAACTTCTAATTACTAGCAAGATAATCGGAAATGGCCATGTCCTCTTGTCTTAATGTTAGGATGAACAAGTGAAGGTAGCCTTACACACCAATTGAAGTCTGCTTTCACTTGGTTCAGTTTCAGAAGCCTCATCCCGGTTATGAGTTCTTAGCTTCTGCAGGAATATCCCAATTATACACATTTCTTGTCTCAAAGATTCTGCCTGTTTGGACTATCCTAGTCGTAGCACAAGCCACAAGCAATGAATATGCTAGTATGAAAGACAACATAAGATTACATTGTCAAATTACTCTTTCCCAGCTTAGTTGTAAAATTGCTAATGCACATCAATTCAACCACATAAAAATTTCTTTTTACTCGGGATCTCTGTAAGCATTGGCATTTGGGGAACATGCTCCTGCAGTTTCAGTTTTTCCAGGTTGTTTGGTGAAAAAGTTCTCATCAACAAGGAAATTGGTTGTCCTGAAATATCCATGCAGAAAGGGCTTGGGCCATGCAAATGGCCTAGACCCTGCAAGAAGATGCATCCTTGATACTTTCTACCAGTTCTTGATACCTTTTTCATTGAGCTATATTTTGTCGTATATATCAGAAATATTTTAATGACACGAAAAGATCATTTTGAACTTAAGAAGTTTTCTACAACTATGCTAAATACTGTTACCTTGTAAATGATTAGAGAGGCTGCCTTTAGGTAAATGTTTCTAGATCGGCATTTTTTGGCCACTGTCCTGGAATAAACAAGTCACTGCAGATTGATCTATAGATGTAGATTTCTTTACTTTCCTTGCTACAATATTTTTTGGTGCTTAATGTCTACCATTATATGTATTATTACCTTAGCCGTCACTGAATCATGTTATCCTTTTATTTCATTTTCAGGCCCTTGGTGTTCACTGTTGCTTGATCTAATCGTTCGAATTGGTGCTGCTTTGCTGTCTATCACGTTTTCGAGAGCTTTTGTTAGGCAAACTTTAACCATGACTATCACCACTTATAAGTTGTTGACTATGCTACTTTAGATCCTTTCTCTATATATATTTCACTATGGAAACGGTGGGCTAGGTCGGATTTTAGGATTCAACTTAGTAGTTTTTATTTATGCTAAATTACATTAGACAACCTAATGATCCATGCTACATTTCAAATTCGTAGCTTAGCAAATCTCTTTTTATCATTGAATTTTACCCGGTTATTAGCAATTAGCACTAGTAACAGAGCATTTGATTCAGTAGCTAGTTCTTAAATTTTTTTACGGAAGTCTTAGGTGACAAATCATTTAGATCATGGCAGAGTAGAAGGTTATACATATGGTTTTCATGGGTCTATTATCGTCTTTTGTTACTAAAGATTAATAAGAAGAAAACAACTACCCTTCAACAATCATTCTTTCGGCTCTGAAACTAATTTTTGCCAGTTGATAAGTAATCCAATAAGTGGACTCATCAGAAGCAACATCAACGACGACATCACTAAAGTTTTTCCAGTGTTCAGAAATAAAAGGTTAATGGTACAACAACAATAATATCTGCAACATGACTATGTGCAAACCTAACACATGCAACAAATGAGAAGAACAGTTTAATCCTTGATCTCATTCGTGAAACATTTGACGAATGCTCACGAGGCTTTTCGTGAGAACTCTGCAACAATGGTCAGTCAACCCATCTGCCGGGGGTGGTCCTCTGTGTTTGACAAGAGCCATATGGTCAAGCCGATAGAGGTATAGGCCTTCTTTGGCGCAATCGAACCAGAGTTGCCCATCCTGAATGTGAACAAGCTTTACCTCGTAGAGGGGATAGCCTTTCAGTGTATGATCTGGCTCCAAATAAGTTGCAGGAACCACGTTTAAACAAAGCTTCCACTTTTTAACCCATTCCCAAGTTGAATGGTCCCTTAATGTCCATATCTCAATTAGTTTTGCATAATACCGCACATAGGAAAAGTATAAACAATCGGCTTCCGCAAGAAGAGACATGTTTTCATGTTCCCTTTTGTATCGGCATTCATCACCAGGATGAGGCATGACCTGAAACTTTTCTTCAATCACGTCGAAAGCCAAGACTCCACAAGTGCAAGGAGGGATCTCATTGTAATTATCGTAATTCCAGTCTGCAATCCAATACAGAGCTCCATTGTAGACTGCGGGTGAATTATGAGTAGGCCGAGACTGACATGAAGGGGACTCTATACGCCTCCAAACATGGGTTCCAAGAGTATACACATAATAGCTTATGCGCCCACAAACAGAACCTCTGTAAAGAATATGGAATTTCTTTGCTTGTGGATGGTAAAAGAAGCCACATACGAAACCCCACGGGCACGGAGGAAAAGTTCTTGATGGAGGACAAGGTATACCAACTTGTTCTTGTGTAACCGGGTTGAAAACATAACATTCTAATGCATTAGGCCAGTGTGTGAGCAACACTAACCCACAACAAGTATCAAAGAGACGAGTAAAATGATGACTGATTTTCAATCCTGGCCGTAGCCACAATTTATTCATCTTTTTCTTCTTGATCGTAGGATTATAAACAAAAAAGCCCAACCCTTCTTTTCCTCTCCTACAGTGAAAGAAGCTATGAACAAATATGGCTGGGGTGGTAGCTCTACAGAGATGCAAATTGACAAAAGACTGCGAGGATGTCAATGATCTCCACCTTTTGCAAACCCTTCGGCATTCTAAAACGCGTTCAGCAGGGAGCCTACTTAGTATGTCTATAACTACATCATCAGGGAGTTGCTTAATAACATCTCTATTCGTGAGAACCGGAAACAAGCTAATCAGATGTGCAATCCATTCGAAACACTGAAGAGCCATCTCCCAACACAGGTAAAGTAGGATTATTTGTCGTCGCTTATTCTTCAATCAAACATACAAGAATATTCAAAGATTAAGGATTCAGATATTACGACCACTACCAAAATAAAAACTGTAAAGGAAATAAAATTCCTGGCTACGTTAAGAAAGGAGAAGAGGAACAACAAAAGAAATAATGTGTTCGCAAGAATGCAGAGTTCAACAATATGTTCGCAAATCAGGAAAGCATTAGAATGACAGAGAAACAGCAGCCATCGTTTATTTTATTTGTTCTAAATATATTAAGAGATTAGGCTTCTACAAAGAGCTATTCAAAATTTCTTAGACATGGGGAATAAGCAATCAATGTAGCCTGCCTTGACTGAGACATATATACATAAATTTCTGCTTCATGTATGTGTAGAAATTTCCCTATTCAGCTCCAATTGATTTAATATTTTTTAGTGCTTCCGTCCCAAAATAAGGGTATATATTCCCCCGTCCCGAAATTATTGTCTAGTTAGCAACCGACTCCGGGACAGAGGGAGTATTATTGAATTATATTGGTGAAAGGAATCAATCTATTTTCCCTCAAAACTTTTCCTAAGTTCTGATCAAGCAGTGAAAGCCTTTAGTTCACAATTACAGCATCCAATCAAGATCCCAGTTAGATTGGAGACAAACAAAGAATATGCAAAATTGTTACCGACCACCCAACCAATTCTGACTCACAGCAACTCAGTTCTAAGTTTATCCAATCCAATTCAATCATCAATCTAAATAAACAACAATCAATGAACAAAAAAGAAAAAAAACTTAGAGGGAAGCTAAACCTGGCCAGCATAGACTTATTCAGTGGATGACAAGGTTGAAAAATTTTGCCGCCGGAACGGTCTTCGGAGGCAGAGCAGGAGCCTCCCAGAATGTTTCGACGGGTTCTATGTATGTAAACTGTAAAGTTGTTACGAATCCCAAACCGTTTATTACTTCAACCTTTTTATAGGGAAGTGGACGATTTCAGACACGAATGTTATTCCTCAATCCTTATTAATCCAAAAGTTAGAATTATTGTAACATTAGCCCCACATGTTTATATATGCAGTACATTTACTCCAAATAGTTATCACTATTTTTGTTTTATTTTATTGGTAATACTCCCTCCATTCTAAAGTATATGTCGTTAGAGGAAAATCATTTTTTTCAAAATAGATGTCGTTTTAGCATATCTAGACATATTTTGTCAACTTTTTCCAACATTGCCCTTACATGAAAAATTGTAATTTTATTTAAAATTTAAGTGTATTAGAACTAAATGATATTGAAAATAAATGAAGGAGAATTGAATAACAGTCTAGTAGTTAGATTTTTGTCATTCCTGGTAATAAACTAGGGTTCGATTCCACAGGTTGTAAAAGGAGTTTTACCCACATTTAAGTGGGGTTCATTAGGGTAGATTTTAAAGAAAAATATATATATTGAGAATAAATGGGGATAATTTAGTATTTTAACTAAATATTTATTGTCTTCTTAAATTTTTTGAAATACCTCAAGCTACATATATTTTGGAATGGAGGGAGTATATAATAATAAAATAATAAAAATTCATTACCACGAGGTAGATGGAAAAAAATAAGTGCTCTACATAAATCTATGAGCATTTTAATTTCAACGACGTATTTTCAAGCTTGTAAACAACCTTTTGAGCATTAATTCCCATATTTTCACCTAAATACATGTTGCAAAAGAGAATGCCAATCTTGTTGGAATGGATTCAAGACTTGCTTCCAAAGTCTCTCATGCACCCAAAAGCCTCCCTCAACGCGTAATGGAATAAATTGATCTGCAGTAAGGCAATTGAGTTTTGATTGAAAAACTTTGTACTCATGGTGAAAGGGGAATATGCAAGAGATACAAGTAAATCTTGCAAAGTCTTGATTTGGATTTTCATTGGGGATGATTGATGCAGCAATCAGTCCTCCTGGCAATCTGTCTTGACCAAATATAGGGACATAATAGAATCAATTCCAAATTTGGTGCCATTAAGAGTCATTCTCATGTGTTCCTTCTGTCCCAAAATTATTGTCCTATTTGAGATTTCACTTTTAGTACAATTTGAACTGAAAATAAAAATCCAAACTAGATAATAATTATGGGACGGAGGGAGTATAACAAAGTCGCCAAAATTCAATTTGATTTTTCCATTAACCTATATTATATGTATTGAGATAAAGAAAGTGCTTAAAAAAATTTCATTGGCTAGTATTTATCGAAATAAAGAGTCTGTGACACTTTTGAGAAAGCTTAAGTTGATGTTTACAATTGTTTGTCAGCTTAAGTATCATATAAAGAGTCCGAAGATCAAGCTGACAGAACAACTTAGTATAAAAAAATTTCGGTAACGATGTCGAGGAGATACAACTTTTTTCCCCCTCAACTTAGAAATCGAAATAAAGAACCCAATGATCAAGTCGACAAACCTCACTTTTATGTTTATTTTCGGCTGTTGACTTAGACATCAAGGTAATGATACCAACAACCAGGTCGGCGAACCTCAATTTTTTTTTAGTTATTTTTGTTCGTGGAATACTTAATCAAGATAATAAACCCGACGCCATGGCGACGTATCTCAATTTTTTGTTTAGTTTTGGTTGTCGATTTTAGCGTCAATCTAATTAACCCGACACAAAAGTCGACGAACTATAGTTTTTGGCTTGTTATCGTTTGTCGACACTTACGTCAAAATAATTCACACGAAGTCAAAGACGACGAACTTCAACAATTTGTTTATTTCCGTTCGTGTGAGAGAATTTTATAGTCTTGTTACTTGATCGAAATCCTGAACAAGATTTGAACATCTCCATATCCCCAATGATGTTTCACATTCTAAGAAAAGATGTTGCGCATTTTTATCATATATTCCCACATTTGTTGCAAATGCATGATTGGAGATATCTTTTTACTGTCGCTTCTTCAGAAGTGTAAGGATAATTGGTAAGACACTAAAGAGATTCAAAACTATTCATCTAACTATTAAATCTTCTTGAGAACTTTTATATGATTTCCAGCCTACTTAAAATCAATCAATTCATTGAACTGTTTATGTGGTGTTGGAATGTTGTTCGGATTCATTAGCCTCCTTTCATGCCGATTTCTAGCAGTCTTACCCGATAGGATGTTCATTTGATCCCACATTTGTATGAAATCTCCTTCTCGAAAAAAAGTTTACTTCATTTTTTGGCCCCCGTACAGTGTATTGCGCTCATTTTATTGTCTTTTTCTTCTTTTTTTTCTCTCCTTTATTTGATCTCACATTAACAATGATATGGAGATATGCAACTCTAGTTATATAATATTGAAACCAATGATAAACTCAGATTGGAAATTGATTGATAACGTAAGGGGCCCTTAGCCGTTCAACATTCTATAAATTTGGTGGCAACATTATGCTTAGGTTTTTTATTACACATATATGGTAGAATGCAATACACTACTTTAACCTTACGTTTTAATTTAATATACAAGTACACATTAAAAACAAAAACAAAAACTTCTCAACACACATACACAATATTCAGTTTCCAATCCCTATGCATTTGTCCGATGCATAATCTAAAACACGTGGGCAACTCACTTCCCATAATTATTGTCCAGTTTGAGTTTTCATTTATAATTCAAATTATACTAAAAGTGAAATCTCAAATTGGACAATAATTTTGAGACAGAGGAAGTATCTGTTTTGGACCGAATACAAAAGAGAAAAGATTAATTATTTGTTTTTGCCTTTTTATATAATTGCGAAATAGTTTTTTTTTTCCAAGCATTATTAGGACAACAACAGATCGATTAGTTAGACTCTACTAAGATTGTTTTCTTTAAAAAATCGTAGTCTAACTAATCGATCTAGTTATTTTTCAACCGATCGATTTGGTTGGTAATGTAAACAAGCGTGACAATATAAAAAATTTTATTACTAAAATCAGTAACGGATCTATAACGAAAATGTAGTGGGAGCCAAAATACATGGTGAGAAATATGTACTCCTTCCATTCCAAAATAATACATTCGTACACACAGTTTAAGAAAGATTTAAATAGAGTAGTAAAATTATTTGAATATCCTTAACTAACCCACTAAAATAATTTCTCACCAATAATATTAATTATTTTGAGGGTAGTTTTAAGAATTTTAAACAAAAAGTGCATTTAAATGTGAGAAAGATACTTATTTTGAAATTTTTTTATTTTATTAAAATGACACTTATTTTGAAACGTAGGGAGTACAGTTTATTTTGTTTGTGCACCATGATTTTTATAGTTTTATATCTAGTCTAGAATGGATAACATTTAAGCTAAAAATTTTGAGAATACCTGGTAAACACTGTGAAAAACCTAGTTTAACGTCATTGGCTCATTGCTGTACATAGATAAAAGGCGGAATTGGGGAAAACAAGATAAATTTTAGTTGGGAAAATAGCGCGCCGCCTCGTAAATAGTATAACTCCGATCATTTTAGCAAACACAACAAATACTAATCAGAAAAGGCATCTCTCTCCGACGGCTTTCTCTCCCTTCTGAACGATCGGAAACTATGGGAAGCAAAGGTCAACAACCCGACCCATCCGGAACCACAGTCGATTCACTACTGAAAGCAGCCAAATCCTTTCTAACTTACCGGAACTTCGAAAAATGCCGGATATGCGCCTCGAAGGCCCTAGAAGCCAACCCGAATCACCCGGGTCCGGCACAGCTTCTCGCTATAACCTCAATTCTTTCCGTTTGCCCGGCTTCAGTTACCCAAACCGAACCACCGCCGGACTGGTACGCCGTTCTCGACCTTCCCCGTTTTACTAACGACCTTAAGGCTATCCGGGCCCGGTTCGACCATCTGTACGGTCTTGTAAACCCTTACCCTAAGAGAAACCCTTACCCATTTGCCGATGAGGCTCGGGAATGGATTCTGAAAGCCGGAGAGGTTTTAGGCGACCCGGATTTGAAAGCCCAGTTTGACAATGGTTTAAGAACCGGTAGAAAAGATGCTAGGAAGGTTTCGGGTCCGGGTGGGGATCCGGGTTGCGGAGCAAGGCAGGATGGACATCAGAAAAGGAAGCCTGAGAATTGCAATGTTGTTGAAATTCACCTAACTGAGGATGATGGTAAAGAGGCAGGAGAAGAAATGAAGAATAGGAGGAAGAAGGAGAATGCTGCTGGGAAGAAGAAAATCATGGGAAAAGGGTTCAGGGTGAAGTGGCATCCTAGGTTCTTTGCAATGGTAGAAGGAGGTGTGAAAAAGAAGCAAAGAAAATGAAAGTTGATTAGTGCTCTGGGTTGGAGATGATGACATTTCTGTTCTCCTTTTTGAATGCTGATCTGGGCTTTTGAGCACCTTGGTTTGTGAGATTAAGCACTTTCTTGTTGATGTTTGCCAGGAAAATTGAACAGAATGCTTTTTGCGGATTCATACTTGAACTTTTGGGTAATTGTTGGAGGAGATGGTAATGATGGTTGGAACTTCTTGTGGAATCATGATGTTCATATATATTAGGACTGAATTTAACCTTTTTAGTAAGTTGTGATTAGTACTAGGAACCTAGAAATGATCCTAATTTCCTACCTTTTTGTCTGTTGTTAGAGCTTCAAAAGCTGTGCTCTTATCCAGAATCTTAGAACTGTTAATATTTTATCTATGAGGGAAAGTAGTGAAGTTAACCCAATTTTTTTGTTAGTTTTTTCAGTCGTTGCCTTGAAGATATGCAAATCTCATAAGTCTAGAATTGTTCGTTATACACTGAAAAGAAACTAGTCATTAAGCCAACAAAAAATTACATACAACAAGCACAATTCTCACTATCTTCAGCTACAAAGTGACATTTGTGCCATCCAATCCACACCAATTGCATCACTTCCCTAACCACAAATCCAATCTTTTCCGTGTCTATGAGAAAAGGGCCTTACATCAAGTCTGCTAGCGAGATAATGAATTCGGGATTTCCAGGATGTCGATTATGCGCTTGAGACGCGATTTGTTCCCTGAATTCGCCTTTAATCGCATATGAAGTAGTTCACTTGAGGATCAGTTGAAAGAATGCTAAACATAATCATGTCTCTTGGTATTTTTCCTTTAAGAAGACAATACTTCCTAAGAACACCTTCCCTAGTAAAACCTGCCTTTTCCAACACCCTTTGTGACCCAACATTCTCAACATCAACTAAACCTTCAAGCCTTTCAAGATGAGGCCACTCAAGAAACACAAAGGAAGTCGCCATTTTCACCGCCTTGGTAGCAATCCCGTTGCCCCAATACTTTGATCCCAAAACATAACCGATTTCGGCCCTGCATCGATCTTTTCCACGGAATGGCCACACAGAAATCGAACCAATGGGCTTGTTTTTCAGGCAAATCGCCCTGTACCATGGATGGGGTATAACAAAATCAGCAACGTAGTTTATTGCATCTTCTTTAGAAACGAAACAATCCCAAGAACAGAATTTAGCCACTTTTTCGTCTGTGAACCATTCCATGAAATCGTCGGCATCGGATAAATCAAGCAGCCGAAGGCTAATGTCGGAGTAATCATGAGCAACTGAAACCACTTCTTTCGGGGCATCTGCAACTGTATCCAATTCACCTGTGATTGAACCCGAATGAATTTCTTGAGGATCCGATTCTTGTTGATCATCCCCCATAGCTTCTTTTTTCTTTTATTTTCTTCTTTTCTCCCTAAACAGAGTTCGCAAAATCTGTTATGAAATCTTTTTGGCTTGGATCAGTTATTTATAGAGGGCGATTTGGGGGGAAGCAACGTAGAAAATACAGAGGCGGTGCAATACAAGACGGTATAGACTTGGGTCAACGAAAAACTTAATGTCTAAGAAATTGCATTGAGGTGACGATCAAGCACTCAAAAGCGTGTGCCTCCCAAATGAGTTTTACACAGAATTACAATGCATTTTTTTTAACTAAATACTCTTCGGTCCCAAACTGGAAATGAAAACCTAAACTGGATAATAATTATGGGACGAAGGGAGTATTACTTTGTAGTAACACACAAAATTTTCATGTGTATGGAGATTTTGAATACCTACATCTAAGTCATTGAGGATTTCTCTTTTTATTATTTCTAAGATAACATTGTAAAATTCAAAATCGTATATCATACGCATTTTTCGTGTTTTGTAACAATCCAAAATTAAGAGGTTTCGTCTTAAGACAAAGATTTCGTTGAGATGTTTTAGTTTCAAAACTTATATTAAATCTTCTTGAACACTCCAAAATTTCAGCTTACTAAAGACGGCCAACATAACTTCGACCAAAAAAAAAAAAGATAACTTTAAGATCAAGAACTACATACAACAAATTACATGCATATTAAAATCACGCACATGAGATTAATTTATTGTTATTCAAAACTTTTGTATGTAGTTGCATCTTAAAAAAAATCATTAAGAAAATGAATTAATAAGCTGAAATCCTTAAATAAGTGCTCAAAAGTTCAAAGTACTTCCTCTGTCTCAAAATTATTGTTCAGTTTGAAATTTCATTTTTAGTATAATTTGAACTAGAAATAAAATCCCAAACTGGGCAATAATTATGGAACGAATAGAGTATCAAATTCTTAAATATCAATAATGAAGAAGCCGCCTTCCAATTAAAGACCCCCGCCAAAAAGTCTTGGTATTGCACCCCCTAATTTGACTTCAATGAAGCATAGGATATTCAAGAATATTCGCCTTTTTCATTTAATACATACACAACTTATTTCTGCAATCTTAATCAAACATTCATCCTCAATTCAGAATGAACAGATCAAGAATTTCTCTGAGACCCTTCAAACTTGCTGATGCTGATGACTTCTTAACCTGGGCTAGTGATGAAAAGGTAACCCAATATCTGAGATGGGAAGCCATTAAATCAAAGGAAGAAGCTTTGAAGTACATCCAGGAGGTTGCAATACCCCATCCATGGCGTAGATCAATCTGTTTGGATGATCGTTCAATTGGGTATGTTTCGATCAAGCCGGAATCAGGTCGTGATAGGCATAGGGCTCATATTGGTTATGCAATTGGCAGTGATTATTGGGGACAAGGGATTATGACTGCAGCACTGCGAATCGCCATATCTACTGTTTTCGAAGAGTTCCCTTTCTTGGTTAGACTTGAGGCTTTGGTGGAAGAAGAAAATAAAGGGTCACAAAAGGTGCTAGAAAAAGTTGGTTTTGTAAAGGAAGGATTTTTAAGGAAGTATGGGTTCAATAAAGGCAAAGTGAGGGACATGTTGATGTATAGCTTGTTGTCTACAGATAAGTTTGCTTAAGAGACTGCAAAGTTGGAACTTCAAGACCGAATGATTTTGTTACGGAATCAATCTTCTTATTTATTCCGCTGCGTGAAGATTGATTTAAGTTCACATTGATCAAATCGCTTTCATAGAATCACCAATTTTATGTATTGGACTTGGATATTAGGCATCAGCATTGAGGATACTCTGTTTATCATCTGCTGACTTGAGTCAAAAACACCTCAGATTGACATACAAATTGTTCTAGATTCAGTTACAAATTCTGCCTAAAGAAGATATTATAAGATGTAATTCACTAGAATTGGTGTATAATTGCCACAAAACAAACTAACCATTAACCTAATTAACACAAGATTACAACATCTACAATTGGATCAATACCCAATATACAAATATTGCATCCATTAAGATTAGCTTATTAGCTTTTTGAATTCAAGATTTCTGTCACGTTCATCATGCGTTTGAGATGCTTTCTCAATTGAACATGAAATACTGCACTTGAGGATCAGTGGAGAGAATGCTAAACATAACCATGTCTCTTGGTATTCTTCCCTTAAGAACACAGTACTTTCTCAGAACACCTTCCCTGCAAAAACCAGCTTTTTCCAACACCCTTTGTGACCCAAAATTCTCCACATCCACAATTGCTTCCAGCCTGTCAAGATTAGCCCACTCACGAAACACAGAGTAAGTCACCATTTTTACTGCCTTTGTAGCAATCCCTTTACCCCAATACTTAGGTCCCAGAACATAACCGATTTCTGCCCGGCACCGATACTGATCGCCGGCGAATGGCGTCACGGTAATAGAACCGACGGGCTTATCTTTCAGGCAGATTGCCCTGTGCCATGGATGAGGGATAAGAACATTAGCTACGTAATTCATCACATCCTCTTTGGATGTCAAACAATCGTAAAAGCAGAATTTAGCCGCTTTTTCGTCGGAAAGCCATTCCGTACAATCGCCGGCATCGGATAAAGTAAGTAGCCGAAGCCTTATGTCTGAATAATCATCGGCCCCTGCTTTCGTAGCTGAACTCCATTCAAAATCCATCGGATCAGATGTTAGTTGCTGCTCCTCCATAATTTATTTGTTTCTTTCCGGTGACGGAATAGTTACAATTTCAAACGATCCTCTAATTCGCCAAAATCTATTTCGTATGCATTATAAAAACTCTGATCTACTTATAGTTGCCTAATTTGGCGTACAAGTCAAGCACTCATGTTTTCCTTCAAATATTTTGATCTACTTACGGTATTTTTCTTCTACATGAACTTGAATTCATATTAATTCTCATCCAACATGATTTTACTAGTTTACAAAAAAATACCCTAAAAACTCTATAAATTAATACTGTTAGTTCCAAGAGAATTTATTAATTTCTGTAGATTATTGTTTCATCAAAAAAACTAATAATTATTGTTTCATCAAAAAAAAATAATATTTTATTGATTTAATTTTTTAAAAAAATTCTATTAGGAATGCTTAACTAATATCTTATTATTTTTTTAATTAATATCTTATTATTTTTAATTACTGGTTAGAGAGAAAATCAAAGATAAAATTTTCTTTGATGTAAATTTCCAGAAAAACAAAACTCAATAGCTACTTTCTTAGAATTTTAGGGTATTTTATATCATAATTAATTTATGATTTTTAGGGAACTTATATTTATATTATATTGGTGGTTTTTCTATTATATATATATATATATATATATATAGATGGCGTAAAATTGGAATTTTCTATGGATCCTGTCAAATATTACTAAGGCTCTGTTTGATAATCACTTAATATAGTGACTTAATTTATTTAAGTACTTAATAAAATTAAGTGTGTTTGATAATTGATACTAAAAAGTCTTAATGAATTAAACTCTGAACTAATTAAGTACTTATAACTTAAGTACGTTTGATAACTAAAATTTCACTATCTGAATTAATTAAGTGCATCTGAATGTCCAGTTCAATTGTGAGCCAGAAAATAAATGATAGGCCTACCACTTATCACTTATCACTTAATTTCTGTAATGATTTTTTTTTCTTTTTTCTTTTTTTCTTTTTTTTCCTTCGTCTTTATTTCGACGATTATTTTTACATTGTTTTAAAATTTTTATTTTCTTAAGAAGAATTAATTAAGAGTGCTTAAATTTGAATTTATATTATGAGTATAAAAGATCTCAAACTTTCAACCTCAAATTAAACTAATTTTAATACATGAAATTTGCTAAATAACAAGGTGTATATATATATATATGTAATCATCTAAATTTAATTATATATTGATTATTTACCAAGTGTAATATCTAATTTCATTATATATACCAAAAACTTATTTTAAAATTATGATTATATTATTTAAAACAAAATATTAGTCATTTTTCTATTTAAAAGAATTTTGTTCATAATTCAATTTTAATGATATTAAAATTTTAAATAACTTTTAAACATGAGTATTCAGATTCAGTCTTCAGACTTCATACTTCGGTCTTCATACATCAAATTCAGACGTTTTTATCAAACAATGTAAATTCAGTCTTCAGACTTCAGACTTCAATGTTAAGTATTAAGTGTTGTTCAGAATTTAGTGATTATCAGACTTCAGCTATTGCCATCACAAGGGAGTAGCTCATTCGGGATATTAAGCCGGAAAACGTATTTTTCGACTCCATTGGTAATCTTAAGCAAGTTGATTTCGGTTCAGCGGAATTGTTCAGGCTTACTGAGAACTGGAGAATGGAAGGGATTGTCGGGACGCCGTATTATGTAGCTCCTGAAGTGTTGAAGGGAGTTGATTACAGTGAGAAGGTTGACGTATGGAGCGCCGGCGTGATTCTGTACATTATGCTTTCCGGTGTTCCTCCGTTCAGCCGGGAAACTCCGGCGGAGATTTTTGAGGCGGTGCTGAGGGGAATTTTGAGGTTTCCCACGAAATTATTCGGTTCCGTTTCTTCAGAAGCTAAGGATTTGATCAGGAAGATGATCTGCAAGGAGGATTACCGGAGGTTTACGGCCGATCAAGTTCTAAGCCATCCATGGATTATCAGTGGAGGAGAAACGAAGACCGGATTGGCGAATCAGTGGATGAAAAACAACAGATTGATGATTTCGAATTTGACTTCCATTGCTGTAAATGTACCAGCCATAGCCCAATATTAAGGATGGCTTATGGAACAAGAAGAAAGAAACAGAGAAGAAGGGTGCCCTGCATCTTGTTGTGTATACATCAGTTTCCATATGCCTCATTTTCCCTTTTTTTTGGTTGTTAAAATATCAGGTTTTTTGGACATGATTTTGATTTGTAGATAGTTAGTTTGTAACATAGTATATATACCTTCAAGAACAAGTGAGTTGATATGTTACTGTTATTCTGATATTATTTGTTAAATTCATGTTTGTTTAAATTGCCCTCAGATAAAATTGACGTTATTCTTAGTTCTACATCCAAACATATATTCCCCCAATCCTTCCACAATAAGTGCCTTCAAATATTACTAAGTGACAATGCTATGGATTTGCGTAAAATCAGGTATTGTGGGGGAAAAAAAATTGAATAGAATCTCATCGTTCGCTCTATGATAGTTTTATTCATCCTTTTTTAAGGCGTACATGTATACTGTCCTTGAATGAAGGTTGGGAAGAGAAAAATGGTGGTGAAACTTGTAAATTGATTAGGTTTTTTCTGCTAAAGTCTTTGGCCTGATGTGGTTTGGTTACTTTCAAAGACCGTATGATTTGGAAATATGCAAATTCCTCGTATTTTGGTAATTAAAATTTCTTAGTTATTATTATCGACAATGGACATCCTACTTACACAATTCCGTCATCTTGTTTTTATAGTGAAGTGGGGGTAGAAGAATCGAAACTCGAGGCATTTGTAGTCCAAAATATGCAGGCTAGTGATGGGCTGATATTATCAAGTGAAAGTTTTGAATTGATTATTTTATTACTGAATCCTCCTTTTGAATTGAAATTTATTAATCGTTCGTATGATCACATCGGGCGAACACGACTTGATCTGTATTTTCAATTCACAGAACGTTGTCACTTGATTGATAAACGTATTTCATTTGATAGTACCAAAAACAAAACAATTCTTAATGGATCAAAAGCCAACAATTCACTACAGGAAGAAACAAAAAGCTCATGGTGTCTCGATGAACTAAGACAAATTTTCCTAGAGAATTTTAGGAACTGGATTTTGAATATGATGAATATAAGCAAAAGCTGAAACCAGAAATGCCCCTTTTTTCTGTCACACATATCTGCTAAACCATTGTCTCCATAGAAGAACATTGAGTTGTTTCCATTGATGATTTACCCTGAAAAGAATGGCCACCTCCGCTTCCGCTTCCGCCTCCGCCTCCGCTTTCGCGGTGATCGGAAAACTCTGCAATCTTCGCAATGGCATAAGTGAGCGCTTCTTCATGTTCCTGCAGAATTATCTTTGCATGATCAATCTCCAGAGGATGAGGTTGATGATTAGGTCTCATCAACACCCTTTCAACCTCTTGGAGTAAAGAATCCGTGTCAAGTAACTGAATAACATCATCTGATCCGTTCTGTGATTGTGTTGGAAAATCCCATATAATATCTTGAGGAGGAATCTCAGAAATATTAACCCATTCCCAAGTCTCAATTGAAGTACCAATGTCATAAACCAGAGCATGTAACCCCTGTTCTGGTTTGTAATCAGCTATATATGCTTCATAAAATTGCTTGTCTTCCGGCCATTTAGTCCTCACTTTCCGACCAATCAACGGATTTAAAGACGGAGTAGCCGCCGGATAATGGACGGAATGGACAGAATGTCTCCACTTCCTTATTCTTCTGATCACATCATCTGAATGGACTCCGCGGAGGAGTGCCCTGTGTTCTTCATCAGACAATCCTAACTCTTTTCTGAGTTCGGTTATCAAACTTTCTTTTTCCCATGAAAGGGAATCAGCTTGAGCTTTAAAGGCTTTTAAGACGGAAAAGTAAGCATCTAGCTGAACCTGTTGAATTAAGGCCTCCATATTATTGGTGTTGCGAGCGGCGGTCACCGCCTTCGGGGGCCGGCCAACTTTTCTTGGCACTCTTTTCTGACGTGATGGAGGAAGATCATCAGTTACGCAGCTTTCGTAATGCATGTAATCCATAGCCAAGCTTGCATATACACTCTACTTGGAGGAATTGTAACTGTACAAAAAACCGTTGATTAATTTCATCAAGAAAAATAATAGAATTAGATAGTTGTCGCAACTCGCAAGTGTAACACTATAAATCGATCTAGTGAATGAACCTCATTTAAATCGGAACCGGAACTGTTTAGGGTTCGTGATGGTTTACGGAAATGCATTTTGGCCTATATTTATAGTGATTGAATTACTTCTTTCATGGCTAAATTTGAATAAAAGTCACATTCTTTCCAACTTGAAATGATTGAAGAGTTTGAATTTTCATGAAAAATTATTTATATTGAAATAGAGCTGGTTAGGTTTGGTTAGACCTAATTATAAAATTTGGACCGTATTTGTCATTGGTAGGTCCATTAGATCTAATTAAAGAACTTGGGCCAGATTTGTCATAAGATCGTTCCATACGGTCCCTTCATCAATTTCCAAAAAAAAAAAAAAGAAGAACAATTTAGATGGAAAAAAAAAAAAAAAAAAAAAAAGAAGCTGACGTACCGAAGTGAGCCTGGAAAAAGAAAACCTTGGAGAGAAGGAGATGATAGCTAAAAGGCTACGTTTCATATTTATAGAGGGTTTTTGGCTGTGGAACCTTAGGCTACGACTCTCCCAAGAATTCGTTTCCTTCTTTGAAAGGATTTACTTATGGCCTAATTACCAATTGTTTCCCAAGAATTAGAGATATTATTTTCGTTTTCTTCTACAAGTCTACTTACCCTAACTACCAATTCTGCAGCGTAAGTTCGTATTAATTTGCTGACAAAGGATTTTTTTGGATGAACGTAGCTAAGTCTAATCTTTCTCGCCAGTATAAATTTTATTGTTAACTCATCTTTCTTGTAAGTAAGAATGATTAATTTGCTCATTGAGTTCGGTAGTTATGATTCAGTCTTCAAACGACGCTTAGGAAGACATTAATTAACAGATTTAAGACTTGTTTTTCCATTCATGTCTTCCTAATAGGATTTGAACACTGACCTATAAGTAAATTATTGTTGTTTAAACAAAAGCGTAGAAAGGGATGTGCTGATGTATACGTTGATGTCAAAGATATTGACTACGAATCAAAGGTCAAATTCTCTCTCCACGGATGCTCAAGATGTAATAATTAGGTTACGTCATTTAAAGTCTATATTTTAATCTTGTACTTTAATTAAAGTTAGTAGGAATGATATTCGTGATCTACATAACTTAGCTTCTGCTAAACTACAATATAATAGTATAGGTACTTTCTATTAATTAATATACAGGTACCATTTCAAAAAAAAATAAAAATAAAAAAATGTCAAAGATAAATCTGCTCGAGAGGTTCGATCAATTTGATTATTCAATTAGTTTAACGACTGCAAATTCTTAAACTTGAGCTGTTTGATTTTTAGTATGAAAAGACTACAAAGTTATCAACTTGAGAATTGGATATTACTGTTTAGTATTTGGAATGAACAAATTACACACAAAAGGACTAAATCATTCAAGTTTAGCCAATGACAATCCTCTGTTTGTCCTATACTCCTATGATAAAAATGTAAACATTGAACAAGCTGTTGTACCAAAAGTTGTTGCAGATTTGGGTACAATTTTGCTAAATACACATCAATATCATAACAATCACAATTTTGATAATACAATGAGAGAAGGAATCATAATACATGTCTATCAGATGACAAAAACTGAACATGACGAAATCTGTAGGAAACCCTTTTGAGATTTTATACTTCCTAAGAACACCTTCTCTTTGGAACCCTGCTTTCTGAAGAACCCTTTGAGAACCCTTGTTACTCACATCAACAATGGCTTCCAATCTTTCCAAATATGGGCACTCTTCAAATATAGTAGAAATCACCATCTCCACTGCTGTTGTCATGATTCCTCCCCAAAAACTACGTGCCAGAATATATCCTAATGCAGCTCTGCACTTATCATTTCCAGAATTCGGCGTAACGGAAATCGTCCCAATTGCCTTGTTGTTGATACAAATCACCTTTAACCATGGATGCGGAATAACCCAATTGTTGATGAAATCTATTGCCTGTTGATGTTTTGAAGAAGTGCAAGTATCCAAGAGGAAATACTTAGTTACTCTCTCATCTGGTACCCAAACCATCAAGTCATCTACGTCGGTTAGTTCAAGGGATCTAATTGTGATGATCTTGGATGATTCTTCCTTTCCCACTTGATCAGCTTCTGATTGACTTTTGGAAGAACTTTCATCCATTTTATCTCTGCCTCACCAAAAAGAAAGGAACAAAAAGGTTTGATATCTTTATTATAGTGGTATGATTAAATTGTAACTTACTTGCATTTGTCTTCTTATAGGAGTGATGGAATTATTGTCCTGTTCAATTTTGAAAATTGATATTTTAATTTAACTTACACCACATTTATAGCTTCCAGCCTGCTCAAACATTCAACCCGTTAAAGGATGTAAGTAGAAGATCTTTTATTTTGGATGAGCGACAAAAATATGAAATTGAAATGATCATGTAGAAACCAAAAAAGGCCATCTCAAAGCATTTTTTTTTTTGGGGGGGTCCAAATAAAAACAAACTGAATCAACCAAATCACCCAAGAAATCATTTTCTGAAGAAATAGAAGAATAATTTCTACTTGCACTCAGCTTCCAAATCAGATTATCATGTGCTCCTCCGTTCCGAAATTATTGTCCAATTTTGATTTTTATTTTTAATACGAATCTAAATTGGACAGTAATTTCGGGACGGAGAGAATACTAACTAGACTTGCTAGCGTAAAGTTTTGCCAATAACACATTATAACATTAATAACAAAGATCATTACATTTTGGTAGTAAAACTCTAGAAATGACCATAACTCATATGCAATTGAGATGGAAAAAGAAATTCTTTTAAGTATGTGATGATCTATCAGTGGACAGAAAACTGAACATAACTACATCTCTAGCATAACCCTTCAAGAGTTTATACTTCCTCAGAACACCTTCTCTTTGGAAACCTGATTTATCAAGAACCCTTTGTGAGCCCTTATTAGTCACATCAACAATGGCTTCCAACCTTTCCAAATGTGGCCACTCCTCAAAGATGGTAGAAATCACCAAATCCACTGCTTTTTTCATGATCCCTTTGCCCCAAAAACTATATCCCAGAGCATATCCTAACTCTGCTCTGCACTGATCATTTCCAGACTTTGGTGTAACAGAGATTGTCCCAATTGCCCTGTTGTTGACACAAATTACCCTTAACCATGGATGAGGAATTGCCATATTCTTGACATAATCTATGGCTTGCTCCTTTGATGTATATGTATCCCAAACACAATATTGACTCACCCTTTCATCCGTGAACCAAACCATCAGATCATCCACATCGGAAAGTTCGATGGGCCTAAGTGTGATTGTCTCGGATAATTCTTTCTTCCCTGTTTGATGATCTCCTTCCAATTCCATTCTGGAAGAATTTGCATCCATTTTTTCCTCTGCTTCTTAGAAGAAATGGTGGGATTTTGGTGTAATAATGTAAGAAGTTATCTGGTGGAAGATAGATACAGGATGGGCAACAAAAAGAATTATACAATATTTGTAGTCGTCTTTGCTTAGTGATCTAATGGTCCAAAGAAAGTTCTTGGTTGCTGAGGAGGATCGTGACGATCAAGAAAAGCATTACTCTTTTGTTTAATGTTCTTTGACTCTTTGGTCAAGGTGATACTAAAGCTTGATGAGCAAGGGAAATTGTTTGTAATTGGTTGTTTCTTATATTGTATGTGTCTATCGTCGACGACAGTGACTGTCGTCGTTTCATTAGATTATAAAACCATGATAAATGAAAATACCGTTGAAAAAATAAAACATGGAAAAGAGATATAAAGAGGACCAAACACTGCTTTATGATTTATAAATAATTATGAAAATACATCAGCCTTTTATAGGCCTAAGGTAAATACAACCAGTAACTAAAAAACTCTAAAATGAAGGCACTAATCATAGTGGTATAAGACCTGGTCCAATCACTGAGAACATAAAGGCCCTAGGAAGTACTTGGATTTGGCAATTTTAGTCCAATTGGTTAAACTAGTTGGACTGTTGGAGGAATTAAACTTGAAAGCTTTGGTAGCAATCAGACATTCAAGGACCATAGCTTTAGTTTGTTGTGTTTCTTTCATGAAAATGGATCATTTACACTGTGGCCCATAGTGACTTTTTTTGTAATAAAAAACGATAATCGTGTCGAACAGGTTGTGTTTGATCGAGTTATCTTATTCAATCAGATTATCGTGTTAGAAATTGACGACCTATATTACAGTTCATCAATGAATGAAAGTCGGAGTTGTTTTCTTGATTCAGTACTTAGAAACTGAGAATTGGAGATGTGAGTTTTTCAGTAACAAAGATGTGTTTCGAGTACGAAAAAAATCCACGCTAAACATCATATGCTTTTCTTAAAGAGTAACAACAAAATTAGTTTAACATCATTTTCCAAGTTTCCTTCAATATCTGTACTGGCAATAAATTTATGTTTGTAAATTGTAATAGACTAGGGATATTGACAAGAAACTACAGTACAAGAGGCTAGACATTGGGCACAGTTTTGGGTGCCATAAAGGGTCCAAAAACATAGTGCATTTGTGCCATTCCTTTTGTTAGCCCTTTAATTTTGTGTTTCTGAATTCTGATGGGGCTGAATCATATCAATATCATCATCATTGGCCTTCTTTATGAACTTCTTTTTACCCTTTTTCACTGCAGCTAGCAATCATTTCATCAAACACCTAAATGCGCAAGTAAAGGGACGCATGAATTTACAAGGTTTGATATGGAAAACAGCATCATTTTGAAAGCTTTAAAGCATGCCTTTGTGAAAAAAATGACATCCTAAAAAGCAACAACTTTGTATAATTTTATGCTTGCATGAGTACAGTAGACTAATAAATTTAAGGAAATCGGGACGAAAATACAGTCAATTTACAGTATCTCTACGTAATTGCGTAGTGGTTGCAGGTTAAAATTAGTGAAAGTTACAAGCATCATTAACAAAGTAATATATTCCATTGTTTTCATAAGAAGTAGATTAAGTTTGAGGACAACAACGTTAAATCACTGTTTTGAACCCATTACAAACCATATCACGTGAATCATGATCTTCACTGATTGGTCATAAGATGCTATCCCCTTTAGCTGAAAAGGTTATTCTAAACATTCTCCAGTAAAAGTTCAACTTGATTAATGCATAATTTTTAAAGATATATATATTTTTCTAGAAAAAAAGATTATCTTCTTCAGATATAGAGGTTGGCATTTTGTCACCAACATTTTCAATCATCAAATATTGCACATAAGAGACAAAGCAGCAGGTAGTTTTTATTATACGCGCCTAACTCTCTTTGACTTGTTTTATGCAAAGCTAATCAAACGAATTTTTGCGTACTACCCCTCTAAAAAAATGTTTATATATTATTTTAATTCAATAATATGATTTTTATTTTGATACAGAAGGAATATTAGATTTTCCAACGAAGTTTTTTTTAATGTAAGATAAGTTAGATAACCCTTTCAAGTTTCAGAACAGAAAGCGTAACAACCTAACTGTTGTTTATACATTAATCATGATCCATTAAAATCTATAACAAAGTAGCCCTACCAAAATGATGAAGATAATCAAATAATGAAGTGCTTAATGTTGCCATCGACCACTTTCTAGTTTCAGCCATATCTTTATGGCTAAACCATACTAATACTATTATGTTTTATCTTTTGGTCCCCATTGTTGAAAGTGTCTCAAAGGTACCTTCAACTCAATGATGGATGTTTTTTCATTTACACTCAGATCAATATAACTTGTGAGCCACACTAATCTTTTTGTAACAACATTTGAACAATGAAAAGATAAAAACATTCATGTCAACAATTTTACAGTATCAACAGTTTCGAAAGAGGACAAAACCTAAAGTAAAGAATTCCGTAAATATTTATGCATTGTAAATGCATTGTAAAAGGTCGGGAAATTTAATGAGAAACATATGCATGAACAAGAGGGCAACATCTTTTGGCCACTCTTTTATCAATCAATCTTTGACTACTTGCAAGACTCTTCTTTCTCTCTTATTTTTTTTTGTCTTCCAAAAGTGTCATTAATTTTTGCAGAGTGGACCAAATTGAAGAGATGACAAAAGACATTGCCTTCTCGTCACTTGTTCGCTTCACTTCAGCAGTTGCTCTGTTTTTATTGGCCCAAACTTCCAATTAGTTCCAAAGTGGTCCCTTATGAATTATGATATGCTCTACATTATAATTGGCATTATTATTGCACTTCAATTTTTATTTTTATTTTTTTTTGCTTTCTTTGTTTATTTTTCAACCTTGAGGGGATCTGTATATTCAAATGTGATACTACATATGTCCCCAAAAAATAGTCCACATTGACTTTTAAAATTTGTACAATGTTTAATACAAATTTGAAAACTTAACGTGAACTTTTCTTGTGGACAGAAATAGTACTAATTAATCTAATGGAAACTATAGTAACAGAGAAGCTATAACAGCTCCATCTCATCAACCTTTACTTACTTCGCCTCCGAAGAAAAAGAAAAGAGTTTATTTAACATTCCTAATATAGTTATAATTATAATCTTTTATTACACCCCACGATTTATGATAATTAGTTACGAGATCTCGAATGATATTTCAATATTAGACACACTAAAGTGAGGCCTAACTAGTGAGAGGAAAGAACACACAAAACAAACTCACCTAGACACCTACATGATATAAACTCTTGATATAATACGTTGATACTAGACTACTAGTACTACGATCCGTGTGTGCGAAAATTATGTTCATTCTTCATGCGCATGGCGGCGAGAAAAACTTTGGACAATTTCCATCAAAAAAAAGAAAAAAGAAACTTTGGACAATGCCTCAAAAGGTTCTTTTCAACCAAAGAAAGTTTCTTAACAGATTGAATTAAAACGTTAATTTTTCCTCTTTTCATATGGAAGAACTGGAACAAAGTGGTCACTTTATAGAGGAGTACTTCTTAAGCTACGTTGATGTGCATTTAAGATTACATTGCAAAATGTTTTTGATACCCTTGGATTTCATCATTGGTTCATTTATTAATTTGCCCTATGCTTTATTTTATTTCGTTCCAGAAAAAACAAAGTTGCCCAACTGATATGAAACTACGAAAGTGATACTCCCTCCGTCAAAAAAAAAAAAAAAATAGCCCACTTTGAATTTTGGAATTTATATTAAAAACAGTACAAAAATGAAATTCAATGTGAATTATTTTTTTTGGGACGAACGTAGTATTATTTATTAGATTTTTCAAATCAATTAGACAATGTAATATCACCTGGCCCAAATTTCTTTGGTGGTGTCAAATCCTTGTCTAATCTTGTTTACGATGCAATTTCCTTTGAAGACCAGGTCAAGTATTGCCCTAATGAAGAAATACTTCACAATTATTTCATTACTTGCCAAAAAAAAAAAAAAGGGGTCGAAATTTCGTTAAAATATCGTTATATTGAATAATTCGTGAACGGTATAATTTTTTGTGCACTGAATTTCAGTCACTTGCCACTGAGAGTTTTCTAACCCCGGACATTTCTTGTTTGAGTAAATTTCCATTTTTCTCAGAAAAAAAAAAAAAGAAAAGAAAACCCCAGAATACTAAGTAGAAACAAATCAAAAAGCCCTATTTTCCTTGTTTTTGAAAAATTCTAAACTTAGTACTATAAGAAATTGATTACTAACAAATGTAACTTAAATGGGATGAATCATGAACATGTGGTTGAATCTGTAGTCGGTACAAATAATTAAACAACTTTCTTGGTCAATATGATCAGTAATTTGATTATTAATCAGCCGCACTTATTAATTGATTAGTATTAATAAGGAAAAAGCTAAACTGAGAGTCAACATATGACCAGTGTACATGTACTTCTTATTATATATTCTTGATGTCGAACTCACAAAATAACCAATAATGATTCGAAGAACAAATGTGACCTCGATCGAAATGTCAAAAGATAATAAATCAAAGTCAAAACAGGACCATTTTATTTTCACTTTTTTGGTGATGATGTTGATGTTGAAATTATTATATAACCTTATAATTATGACTCAAAAGAAAGAAAAATTTGCTGACCAACTTAAACAAAATGATTTTCTTTCACTAGATAGTGGACTGAATAGAAATATGTTCAAGCTAGCATCCCATAATTAATTTGGATTCGTACTTATTGTGTCACACTATGTGGACAAATTTTAAATATCAAGGCTCATTAACATGCGACAGTGAGTAAAATTTAATGATTTCAGTGCATTATCATTTGGTTGTTTTCATTTCTTACATTCCATTTGTCAATTGTCATTTGTAATTTGACGTTTTCAAGTATGAATGAAATCTTTTTTAACCCTAGGGAAATACTCTCTCCGGTCCTCAATATAAGACATTTTTATTTGATCCATATTTTAGCTAGTACACATTTTTAATTGACAAAAAAGCCTTAAAAACATTTCCTAACAATCAAGAGAACACAATGATCGTGAAAATATATTTTTAAGGTTTTTTCTTTGATTAAAAATATAAATTAGGTGAAATTTAGGCCAAAATCAAAATAGTTTATATTAAGATTTGGAGGGAGTATATACATACATCCATCCAATAATTTTAAAAATTGGTTCAGCTCAACGACGACTTCCGATCCATGTATAATATTCTTAGAATTCGATGCGTATTGTTTAATAGATATTTTTGTACTAATAGATTGCTAATGATCACGGCAAATGATACGTACTTAGTCGTCAATAAAATATTTCTTAGATTTATAACAGAAAATTCAACACGGAAAATGTGATGGATGATATTTTGCGCAATTCACAATAAACACCATACGTACACAAAAGAATTGAAAATGGGGAAACCCTCTTATGCCCCATTACGTTCAGAATTTATAGCCAATAAAAAAATTTTAAAAAAAAATATCGGTACGATTCTCATTAAATCGTGTTTGAAATATAACATTCGTAGTGTTTGTAATTTACATAACGTTTTTATTTTTGGTTTTGTGCAATTCTCCATCTTTACAGGAAACAAAAAAAAAAAAAAAAGTAATAAGCGGGATTCAAAGCTTTTCTACACAAATTTAGAACCCCATACTTATAAGTAGTTTTAGTTTCTTGAAATGTTTATGTTGTAGTATTGTCATGACTTCCGAAATTTATTAGGCTCTGTTTGTTTCCTTTTTTTCATGGTTTTTCAGAAAAAAAAATAATAATATCTGTCTCATCTCAGCATATCTCTTTATATTTTCAATACAATTTTTTACATTCTTAATACAAAAAATACCTAAAGATACACACTAAAAAAACGAAACAACCATACCTTTAATTTTCGCGTTAGGAAATTATTCCTTGATGAGAAAGATTGTGGAATGATTATTTATCGTAAAAACAGTAGCCAACGGGTCCACATAACTGCAGTTTTGATGGGCCCACAGTCTTCTGTTTTTATTGGGTAGGAGTGAAATGAAACGTTCGCCGAGGAGTTTGGGTTTTGATAATGATAATGATGGGTAGTACTGACTAGACTGCTTTTACTTAAAGGGCCCAATGGACCTCTTACTGCAGAGTCCGTGACCGTCCCACCTGGGCCCACCAGGCCCCCACCACTTCTTTTTCAGTCTTTACTTCTTACCAGTCCACCTCCCTATATTTTCGTAGGGACCGGGTTTCTCCTAAAACTCACATTATATGTAAGTCTTTAGGGTTTAGGCTCTTGACATTTTGTAGATATTCTCATTCAATCTTACATTTTTGTCTCATGATCAAATTATTGTCTCGTGTATCAAATTATACAAATCAAGACAATGAAAAATATAAACTTTGACACATTATGATCCACAACATGAACAATAATGACTAATCCATTCCTTGAATCACATACTTTTTGAAAGAACGAAAGTTGTCAATATTTTCAGTACAAATCTTCTTTACACTACGTTCGTTATCTTTCATCCTCACGCGTTTGTTAGTCTAAAAGCATCATTAGTGGAAACAAACATTTAGGAAAGTAGATTGTTACAAATAATATTTTTTTGTCCTAAAATAATTTTTCAATTTGAAATTTTAAATTTTGGAACGGAGGACAAAAACTCGTAAGCACTAATCACTTGAGCAATTATACATTACCAACTCTAGGGTGCATGATTTGATTCATAAACTAACACAATAAATTTTGACCCTAGCCTACTAAACCTACACCGCTCTCTAGTCTCTACACCCTACAAGAAGAGGACAATCAACAGAATGAAAGATATATTTGTTAATTTTTCTTTTTGATACTCCTAGTCCTACATTCTGCATTCCAATAAACAATACTCTGTTTATTTGTTTTTTTTTTTTTTTTTGGAGTGAACAGAATATGACATTTCTAATTAACTAAGAATCGTTCTACTAGCACGACAATGATATATTTGCTCCCCTAAAAATTCTGCAATTAAGCAGTGTGGATTTGACCAATTTCGGATAAAAGCATCCTACTAAACTGATGAACATAATGGAGAAAGTTCTAGTAAAAATAAATAAATATATATATATAAAAAAAAAAACAGAAGCATCAATTGGATAGACCCACCATGTCGTCACCCCACGACTGCGTGTGATTGTGCGTGCTCTTTTTATTCCCATCCTTTGACAGCGAGTGCAATGCACACGCACACAGTCACGCACTCACACGCTCTCACACAGTAACTCACCCCATAAATTCACACACCGCCTGTATCTGGCTGAAGAAACAGGATCAGGGGGCAGTATATTTAATATAGTTTTGTCTTATACCTCTAGTAAATACAAATTGATAAATAAATCCTCAAATTTAATTCGTATTTCCAAAAAGGATCCTCTTCGGTCAAAAGACTCGAAACTGCAAGTCTATAACAAGTATGCTAATCAGTTTGATTTCATTTTCTTAAATTAAAACACCTGAAGTATGCTAGTATTTGTTGTGCTTTTTAATCTCAAACTATGTATAATCAAATTTAGTTTATTAATAGAATTACATTTTGAGATAAAGAAGTTATATTTTGAATATATGCATTCACTCACTCGATATATGATTTTTTTTTTTTATTATTATTTGAAAATCACTCGATATATGCTTCAGTTCAACAAATCGATACAGATATAGAAAATGAAAACCAAATTATATTTTGGGTTTTATATTAAAATCCGTCTCCAAAATTTTTTTAGAAAAAACAAAAAGCTGAACTTTTAAATTAGAACTGATAGACTATTAGAGAATTGATAAAGTATCTTGCAGTTTTGATTTTTGAAAACTTGTAAGTGAATTAAATAGTATATAAATGGGAATATAAGTCAGAGTTTTGGTTTTCACCAAATTGTCAGGGACCAGGTAAAAGAAAATATTAAAAAAATTTAAGTAAACAAATTAAGAAGTAGTATTTCATATTCAGAAAAAAAAAATTAAAATTAAAAACTAGATTATAAAAAGAGCAACAAAATGCAGGCGGCAGTAGTTTGTGATTTGATCATCAAAAACAAAGCCACGGAATCCCATGCACACGCGTCCGAAATCTCTCAATTACACCTAACCCCTTTTCTCTTCCTTCTCATCAGCTCTTTCCACCTCCCTTCACTCTCTCTACATAACTTACTTTCATTTTTTCAGAACTGTACAAAATAAAATTTTACTGAGGAAAAAAGATAAACTGAAAAAGGATCGATCTTTTTTCTCATAGTGGGAGCCCGAAAACCCAGAAAAAAGCAGCAAAAAGATCTGACCAAACCCATTTAGCCAAAAGGGTTTTTGGGGATTTCAGTTTATTTGATTGTTATTTAAATTAAGCGGTGTAACGAGGACAGGGGAGAGGGGAGGTATAGACAAAAGGGGTGATTAAAAGCAAACAAAAAAAGGGGGAAAAAAGAGGGAGAAAAGGTTAGAAGTGCTTATTAAAAAAGGTGGGTGGGTTTGTGTAATTGATTTTTGTTTGCATGTTTATCGACGACTATTGAAAGGGTTTTTCATTTTTGGCTATTTGCATGTCGGTATTTGAAGATATGAGTGATTCTTCCTTTTTGCTGAAATTTTAGTGAGGATTAAGCGTGAAAATCGGGGAAAAAGCTGGTGTCTTTTTTTCTCCCTCCCTCTCTTTCTTTGGATTCTTTTCTTTTTGTGGGAATTGGTGGAAGTTAGTTACTGATGATTACAGAGATTTGCATTCATGGATTCCGTGCTCCTTGAATTCTTTTGATTTCTTGGCTTAGATACCGCAGAGGGATTTTTTTAAAAACCTTGAATCCACCCTTTCTAGTATTAGTCCAAAGATTCAATCTTTTTCCAGTTATTGCTGTAAAGAAGCAGTATTGTGGTTGGAGTTCCTGACTGTGTTATTGCAGGTACCTAATTTGCTAGTAGTACTTACTCTGTCAATTATGAATTTCTGTGTCTGAATTTCTGGGTAGAGTGAAACATTGATTGCTGATTTTTTTATTCAGGCAACTTTATGCTGAGGAAAAGATCTAGGCCTAGTACTTGTAAACAAGCTCTAATGGCGGATTATGGCACTTTGTCTTCTCCAAGGGACAATCCTAAGAAGCCCATTTCTTCTCTATTCAGTTCGCCGAGGTTGTTTACTGGTTTTGCCTCCAAGGGGTTGACTGATTCTGAGTCTTTGATGAGCCCAACTTCTATACTTGATGGCAAGCCATTTTCTGCAATTAGGAGTCCTTTCTGGTCGGATTCAACCACACCCAGATCCTATAAACCGGAGAATAAACTTCATTTGGAGAAGTTGGACTCAAGGAGTGTGGGTCTTGGCCTTGTTGATGCTTTGACTGATGACAATTATGATTCAAAAGTAAGCAAACCTGAGAGCAGAATGGTGGTTTTTGGTTCACAGTTGAAGATTCAGATTCCCACTCTGCCTCCCTCTGTTGTTTCCCCTGTCCAATCACCAAATTCTCCTCCTGATTTTGGTATCAAAACTAGGAATTCTCAAGTGGGATTGTTGTCACCCGGGTTGTCATTGCCGTCTCCTGCGAAGAAATCGCCCTTTAGTTCCTCAAACAATGGCCTTCTGGAAAGCTCACCAAAGAAGTTCAGTGCCCTCTCAATCAGTGAAATGGAGCTTTCAGAGGACTACACATGCGTGATTTCTCATGGCCCAAATCCGAAAACTACTCATATATTCGATGATTGCATTGTTGAAAGGTGCACCGTTGGAATCTCTTCTTCAAGGAAGCAAAATGGAATTTGTTACAACCGTTCAATGAGCTTTCCATCTCAGAGTTTCCTCAGCTTCTGCTACAATTGCAAGAAGAACCTTGGGCAAGGGAAAGACATTTACATGTACAGGTTAGACTTAATTCTGCTTATCTAGTTTGATCATGCCGGAAAAAACCCATTGAATAGTTAATTGTTAGTTCATCTCAATACATGAGTTTGGAGCTGACACTATTATGACAAATGCATGTTCTTGTTGGAAATGTTTGAAGGGAATCCACCAAATTTCTTGTACTTAAGCACTAATGAATTTGTCAATTAAGCTCAATCTAATTATTTGTGTCAAAATTTCTTTTTGTTTCAGAGGTGAGAAAGCATTCTGCAGTAGTGAATGCAGGGACAAGCAGATGATGCTGGAGGAAGGAATGGGAATATCAGAGTATGATGATGTATTTGGTATCTCCTCATCATGACAATTCTCCATGCCTGCAAATTGTCCTAGTAGTACTACTAATAAAACACCAATATGGGTTCTCATCCTCTTTTTAGCTAGAAGAATTGATCAGTTATGGTTTTTTCCATACATCAATGATATGACAGAATCAAGGCAAACACCATAGAAGTCCTTATTATGTATATGTTAGAGAGCAGTGAAGTCTGTTTTTGGTATCTTTTGTTATGCAAATTCATGCTTCTGTTTTAGGTGTTCTTTTCCTTTTTTTTGTTCTGGTGCAGTGCCTCCTACTCAATAAGGCAAGTACTGTGATTAGGCATTGAGAAAAAAAAAAAAAAGAAAAAAAGAAGCAAAGATGATTGTAGTAGAAGTAGGTGATTTGTTGTGTCTAAAGTTTGTAGCTTTGAACATTTGGATATGAATGAATAGATGATGCTGATTATGCTTGTTAGTAATCTACTCAAAAATACACATTGTTGTAGTAAAACTTATTTTAGTCCATTTTATGGTAGTGTTTGATACAATATGTGGATTATTAAGATTATTGTACTGTTTGTTTGTTACAGTATGGCGAATTATTATGGTGGAAAGGATTGATTTTTTTTTTTTGTTTTTTTGTTTTTTTGCGAAGCAAGGGTATTAGTAATAGTATTATAGTTTCGGTTTCTAGTACTGGGTATAATGAAGCTATAAATTAATCAGTCTCACAATAATTATGTACACATCAGATGGACCAATGATTTCAACTTGGCAGATTCTTTTCTTTTCTTTTTTTTCTTTGGCAATGTCCCTTTCAAGGATGTCATCATCCCCCTTTTTTTAATCGGGACTTAATGCAAACTTAAAATATTGGAGGAGCCTAATTTATGGGTCACTGTGATTAAGACAGTCAAAGAGAGAATATCTCTATTTAATTAATTATCTCTATATTCTGTCTAATTGAGGCTCAACAAACCCCCTCTTAGCCTTCTAATCTTAGTTTGGTTAACAGAGGAGTGTCAAAGATGAGAAATCAAGCTGATTCTATGCAACAGTTGCAGCAACCAAACTAATGTAATTGTATAATACATATTTTTACATTCTCACACACAGGAAATACATACTGAAAAAACGTTTTTAGCGAAATATTTAAATTTATATTCTTTCTGTCTCGAAATAACTGTAAATCTAAATTAGATAATAATTTTGGGCGATTGGGAGTACAAAGGTGGCCATCCGAATGATCAAAGATGCAAATGGTAGTAATGCTTGTTACAGTTGTATGATTAGAAACACATCAAAATTGAAGTGTTGTTTATGAGCTAACCTTGACCAGTGATTAGTAAGGCTAGTTAATATGGAGAAATCATTCGAAGTACAAAACTTGGGATCACAACAACAAAGAGAGTTGTAGCTAGGGTCCCTTGGGGGGAGATTGGAAAGTTACTCACAGGCTTTTATTTCCGTAGTGCTATAATGGTCCTAGAAAATGGTTGCCATTGAAGGAGACAAGCATGCATGGAGGAGAACAATTAGGCCGAGAAAGAAGAACGGGACAAACCCTAAAAATGCAAGTAATTTTAGAAGAGAGAATCTAAGGACTAAGGTACAATATGCCAAAGCAAAATGTTAGGACCATTGTGCTTTTAATATGTATCGCATTTATACTTATTTGTCTGAAAAACACACTTCTGATTACTGAAAGAAAAAAGGAAAAAAAAAACTGCAAAATACAAATGATTTTTGGTCTCCTTTTGAGTAGAATGTTGGAGTTGCCTCTAGCGGAATCAAATCATTCTTGATCTTTTTCTTTTCTTTTTTTTTTTTTTTATAAAAAAGTTATACTCCCTCCGTTCCAAAATTATTGTTCAGTTTGAGATTTCACTTCTAGTACTGTTTGAACTAACAATGTAAACTCAAAGTGGACAATAATTTTGAAACATAAGAAGAGTATGGAGAAAGAAATACGCTAATTTATCCACGATAATCTCTACATTAGAAGGGTTGAGATAAATCTATACACTCTTTATAAGCAGGAAGTATTGACAAAATATGTATTTTTGACGAATAAGAAAATCCAAATTATTTTTTTTTACTATAGAGTATAGACTACTACCTTTGTCGGCTTGTTCTGGGCCTTCTGGGTCCACTGACATTAGTTACACTAGCCTAGTATACAACAAGGGTCATGCATAAGAATCTAGGGAGGCCCTAGTAAGCCTGGGTTTGAGTAAAGTTTATTGAGAATTGTTTTTCATGTATATGGGTCTGTTGGGCTTTCATTAGCTTAAAATGGGTCACTTACAAACAGCAAAAATGCCATCAGGCCATGTGTAATCCCTTTTATTATTATCCTATTAAAGCAGAATACAGGATGTTGATGTGGTAACTTCTTATTAAAACTTTTTGGCTCCAAATACACCATATTGCATTGACCATTCTGCCACGTGTCATTCCTTTTTAAAAAGAAAAAAAATTCTTATCCGGAGAAACAAAAGTTACTTTACAAAAATAGCTACACAATTTTAACTCCTAACATTTATCATTTATCCCTTTTACCTTATTAAAGCAGAATACAGGATGTTGATGTGGCAACTTCTTATTAAAAATTTTTCGCTCCAAATGCACCATATTGCATTGACCATTCTGCTACGTGTCATCCCCTTTTTAAAAGAAAAAAAATTCTTATCCGGAGAAACAAAAGTTACTTTACAAAAATAGCTACACAATTTTAACTCCTAACATTTATCATTTATCAATCAAATTAAAATAACATTTAAATTTTTCCATAAACTTATCCCCTTTATTACTCCACATTCTTTTGTATGTTTTCTGCATCGTTGTACTTTTCAATATTTTTTTTCCTTTGGCAGATGATTTTTTATTTTTATTTTTATTTTTAGCTAAAAAAAGAAAAAAAAAAGAACCAAATGTGTAGCTATTTTATTTTTTCCAAATCAAAAATTTATTTATATATTAACACAAATTTAAAGTAGAAGGGTGCCCAGACATCTGCCTGGGCCAAGCATCTATTTCTCTGTTACCACTATAGCTTAGCACTGTAAGGCTGGTGATTTTCATTTTCTTCCCAGCAAGAAGAATTCTTCTGTTCTATTCTACACATGTACACACCATGGAGTTTGGAATTAATTGGAAGATTTATACTCTCTTCATCCCAAAATAATTATTTAATTTAAATTTTCACTTTCAATACAGTTTAAAGTATAAATGAAGATCTAAATTGGACAATTATTTCGGACAGAAGGAGTAACTAGGAGTTAGCACATAATCGATCTAATGACAATAGAGATTATAAATTCATTCTTAATAGTTATTGCATGAATAAATACATAAAAAAACTAATTATAAATAATATCAGGATGAATCTCTTATTCTTAATATTTAAAAAAGTTTACCAGAACCTTTTTTATTTTATTTTTTTAAAAAACAACCTTTTAACATATTACTCTCCAATGGAACCGCTTTGGTCGAAATTCTTCTAACAGGTTTTCCTAGCCAAATGCTAGAGACTCAACCATAACTTCGTTTCGATGAAAAGGTTACACAAATAAAAATCTGTTAATCATTATATTATTTCACTGGATGAGTTTACTGTTACCATTTTAGACGTTTCTTCTCCTTCTAAGTTCTATAGTTGAATATCAATCATTATAGTCTTTGAATGCATGGTTTGGATCTTTCTACAATGTGCTAAAATAAGCAAAATATTATCCCAATTTGTCTAATTTCAAATAATGAAAGCCAAAATTTGTGTTGGTCATTGCATTATCCAAACAGCAGGGGCAAGCTTGTCATTCACTAAACTTATTTTAGAAATCCGTCTACTATCCAAAGCACTCAGAAAAAAACAGCGCAGTATTAGGCAACAGGAATCTTTCCATTAATAATGGCAATAATAATTTCTCCATTCTCAATCTTACCCTCGCGATTCCCCCTTTTGTCCTTTCCTTCCTTCTCCTCCATACTCCCGCCGCCTTCCCTCCGCCGTAGACGGCAGTTTCCCATCGGCTTTGCCCGCCGGGAACCTCCTTCGGATCCCGACATGTCGGTCTCCGTTTCTATGCCGCCGGCCTCGTCCGCCCGGCGTCAATCAGATTCCGAGCTTTATCTTCTGGATTCGAGAAATCGTACGTGCACCTCCAAATTGTGTAATTTTCTTTGAGAATTCTGCATTTGTTCTATTTTGTACTTTGCTCAAAATTTTTTGCTTTAGGTAGCAGATTTTAGTGGTTCTTAATTGTTAACATTGTTTAGTTAAGTGGTTGATGACAAAAAAAATAAGAATATTCATTTGGATTTCCTTTTCTGCATGATCTTCTTTTATTGACTACACTAATTAAATTAAGCTGTAAATTATTCGTTTAACTCTGTGTTTAGAGAATGTCTTTAGCTTGAAAACACTTCATCTACAATTGTGAATGATTAATTTGAAACTTGAAGTGATTTGTTAGTTTTTTTTTTTTGTGGTTCAAAGAACTACTTTTCTGTTATTACTTTCACAGATGTTGGTCAGTTTACCTGTTCCATGTTATAAATGCTTGCTCTGAGTTTGTTCTTTCATGTTGAGGTTTCAAATGTTTTTCAGTGGAAGTGGTAGATGAATTAATGACGGGTGCTGATTGATTTGGAAGAGTCAATGAAATTCGTGAAAACTTTTGTTGTGTGGCATAAAATGGTGGAATTCGTTATCATTTCGTACTATCATTACTCGTTTTGAAACACATCTCGATTGTGGTTTCCTGTGAGGGAATTTAGTGTTAATTTTAAGGATATTCGTCATACATGTTCCATTAAAATTGCTATTTGTGGCTTTCCTTGTACATGATCTTGAGCTCTGTCGCTGTACCTAATTCCATCAGGACATTTTATAGTGTAACTAGCTGATAAGCATCAATTACGTGCCTGTTATTGTCCTGTGATAAGTTTGTAAACCAAATGTGCTTGATGGCATAACTAGCATTAGAATGAGGGAAAAATTGAAAGCTGAAATTTTAGCAACCATCTAGCTTATCAACTAGTGGGTATCAATATGGCAGACTTCGTGAAATCAGCTTGTGATTATGTGAACTCTAGAAGCACTAGCTAATGCCATGTTAGTCTTGCAAATGCACCCTTGATTGATCTGGCATGTTTTTACGTGAAGTCTGAAAGCAGCGTTGTTCCTACATGAGTCTTGCTAGTTGCAATTGCATTCTTGTTTGGCCAAGGTTTCTTGCAGTAACAATGGTACTGCCAACATCATTCTCTCTCTCATTTTCAAATTCTTTATCAAGGTGTTAGGAAAGGGGATGCCCCGGGTCCCAATGAAGAAGACAATACCTCAAGTAAACCAGCTTCCCGCAAAAGCAGATATTCATTCAAATCTATCACCTTTTTCGGAGTTGAGCTGACCCCAGATAATATAGCAGTGGCCATGGTATATTTTGTCCAAGGCGTTTTAGGAATTTCTAGGTTAGCTGTAAGTTTCTACTTGAAAGATGATCTGCATCTCGATCCGGCTGAGGTATGCCACTTTTTCTTGTATTTAAGATTTTTTTTTGCTGCTTATGAGTTTACATTGTTTACGGATTCTATGGTTCTTCACTGAAAACACATTTGATACTTTAACTGCAATTTTCAATGAGATAAAATTTGCATTTGAGCATTTGGTTAATTCCACAAACGATGTTTAAGAGGATCATCAGGTTATAATTGAAGCATGTCCTTAATATGTAAATATAAAAATGATGGATCAATGACAGACTCCACATCATGTACTTTTTCCTTAGTTGGACTGGGTCTGAGGCACTGGTATCATGGTGCTTCCTGATGACTTTTTCTTTTCTTCTAATTTCTCACTCGCAGGGAAAGTTGTTGAGTATCAATAATTTCACATGATAGTAGTAGCTCAGCAAATAGGTGCTCTTTGTTCTCCACTAATGCATTACTTTAGCTGATTATACAGTGGTAACACTTTCTGATTGTTGACCCTTGGTTTCATAAGAAATACATATTGGACTCTATCGGCAATTATGTCTGTTTAAGTAGAGGTTACTTAATTTTACTACCATGGATTTTTGAAGTGTCCATTTTCAATTACTTAAGCTCATGTTTTCTGCGTATTTGACTGATGAGTTTATATGTTCAACTAGACAGCTGTTATAAGTGGTTTCTCGTCATTGCCATGGCTTGTTAAACCCCTGTACGGATTCATCAGGTGAGATTCAGAGTGATACATATTTTTATCCAAAATTGAACAATGGATGAGGCTGTGATTTAATGATCATGAATTTGCCTTTGTAGTGATTCATTCCCACTTTTTGGGTACCGGAGAAGATCATACCTGGTCCTATCAGGCCTTCTTGGGGCATTCTCATGGACTCTTATGGCCACCTTTGTCGATAGCAAGTATGATACTGCTTTCTGCATACTTTTGGGGTCCCTGTCTGTTGCCTTTTCAGATGTTGTAAGTATGATTATTACTCAGTCAATTTTCCTTGTGAAGCCATTTTTATTTCTGGATGCTGTTATAAAAATATGATGCATGTTTAGGTAGTTATCAGGTGAAATTACTTTAGTTAATAATAGTTCTGTGCTTCAAACTTATGAGGATTTGATTTTTTAAAGTTTTGTTGGGCTTTGCTTGGCGTTTACTGTCCTTTTCATGGACTACATATATAGGGACTGTATATACTAACTAAAGTTATTCAGGTAGTTGATTCCATGGTGGTGGAGAGGGCTCGTGGTGAGTCTCAAAGCATGTCAGGGTCTCTTCAATCCTTGTGCTGGGGCTCTTCAGCTTTTGGTGGGATTGTCAGTGCGTACTTCAGCGGCTCTCTGGTTGATGCATATGGTGTAAGGTATAGCTGTCTCTCCTTTTTAAACTTCTGCATGTCATTGCTTTCGGTCACTGTGATTCATAATCGTTATAAATATTCAGGTTCGTTTTTGGGGTGACTGCACTGCTTCCTTTGATAACATCTGCAGTAGCGGTACTTGTTAAAGAGCAAAGAGTGCCTGGTACAGCTCGTGACCAAATACTTTCTGTAGGAGGTCCAGGATTTTTGGAGAGCTCAAGAAGTAGTATTATTCAGCTGTGGGGTGCTGTTAAGCAGCCCAATGTTCTTCTTCCTACACTATTTATCTTTCTGTGGCAGGCGACACCACAATCAGATTCTGCCATGTTTTTCTTTACGTAAGTGGTAGCAAGCCTCAAAGGAAACTGTCGTTTAACTTCCATCTCTCTGAAATTCATGGCTAAAGATTCTCTTTTCCTTATTTCAGTACAAACAAACTTGGTTTCACTCCAGAATTCCTTGGACGGGTGAAGCTGGTTACTTCAGTGGCCTCTCTTCTTGGGGTTGGTCTCTATAATGGTTTTCTTAAAAATGTTCCCCTAAGAAAGATATTTCTTGCAACTACTATCATCGGCTCGGCTCTAGGAATGACACAGGTATCCCTAAAACCTTTTCGGGCTGCGTAGTTTCTTCATTATTGTTATTTTTATGGTCTTGAGGCGGCGTTTGCTTGTCTGGCTAGGTTTTGCTTGTCACTGGATTGAATAGACAGTTTGGAATTAGTGATGAGTGGTTTGCAATCGGAGATTCTTTGGTTTTAACAGTTCTTGGCCAGGTAACTTTCCCAGCATTAAAATTGTGATTCTATTTAATTTTATGTGATGGTTAAGCTAACTTCTTCTTTTGCCAGGCGTCTTTTATGCCTGTTCTTGTATTAGCTGCAAGAATATGTCCAGAAGGCATGGAAGCTACTCTGTTTGCAACGTTGATGTCCATTTCCAATGGGGGAAGTGTTCTTGGAGGGTTGATTGGAGCTGGCCTTACCCAGATTTTTGGTGTCACCAAGGACAGGTTTGACAACTTAGCTTTCCTGATTGTACTATGCAACCTCAGCTCTTTACTACCTTTACCACTCCTTGGACTTCTTCCTGGCGATGAACCAAGTGCCACTGTAAAAGAGACCGGTGATATTGAGATGAAGTCTAACTGATTCTTACTTCTTGCAACATCATAAAACAAACTCAACTTGGATCATTAATTTTTCCACTGATGCTTCCTTAGTTACTGTCATAGAGATCAAGGAATAGAATCTCTTAACAGATAAAGAGAGTAGGTATAGTGTTGTAGGAATGTGAATAGACGACTGGAAAGGAATGTTTATACAATGAACCATGAATTTGCACCAGAAGAGGTGCCATCTGTTATACCAAATTACACGGCCAACCAGAAAATCTGGTGTTTACTTTTCTTCTATGTGATTTTGGGTGTCCTACAACTAAAAGATTCAGGGCTGGGAAGGTCGACACTGTTGTAGTTACAATAAGATTAATCCTTTCTTTGTTATGAAAGACATTCGGAATTTAATTCCCCGCTCTGTTAGTTGCTTGTGTGCATCTGGTTCTTGATGGGGGCTTGTTAGTTGTGATAAGACACTAAATTCACATGGATTTGGTGTTATATGTTATGTTATAGCCTTTGACAGCTTTGATAAAAACTTTGGCAGCTCATTTTGGTCTCTCTATTCGAAAAGATTGATGGACAATCTTTGGCAATCAAACCTTTTTGTCCTTAACCAGTTCTTTGGGAAGTTGATCAAGCATTAACCTAAGTACCTAACACCCAATTACGTGAGAATGAAACTAAGAAGACGACAAAATCTTGTACCATATGAATAGAATCGGATGTAGAATTTTAGCTAAATTATTAGGAGGAATGCTAGCTCATTGACAAGTGGCGATTTTGCATCAATATTCAACTTAATTTTCATATTCGAAGTCGATTTCTTCAAAGAATTAGCTATGATTTTGAAGTGATTTCGTTTCTTATGACTAGATTAAACATTGTCAATTAGGAGTTAGGACTGATCGAAATCAGAGTTTAATTGAAAGGGATAGATACCCACTATGCGTATGTGATGCTTAAGTTTAGGGTTGTAATTTTTGATTAGACATGGAAATTCGACATGAATTTAAAGCTCCATCCATCTTGTTAAAACAATCTATTAATGAAATTATTATCTCAATATAACACGTGTGATTATTATATTACGCAGTAAGCGAAACAAATTTGACACACATAGTACTAATATGTTCCTGATCCTTCTTAGACCTTGGTGTAATTTAATTAATGCTTGTTCGTGTATATAAAGACATATCCATCCGTCTTAAAATAATCGTTCAATATTAATTTTTACTTTTAGAATAAATTATCTCAGATGTTACAAGAATATGGAAAAAATATCATTTTATTAACCAAGATATGTGTCTCGTTTACCTGTAATATATTAGTTTTGACAATACATGATACAAGACCCTTGAACTTTATCTTTGAAATTAAAATAAGTGAACCAAAACATATCCATCTAAATAGACATACTTGATACCTAAGGCAGGATGAATACGTGACAACTTAATTTTTTTTTTCCCCTTTCCTGAATTATAATATGGATGGTGATATAATCCAATTTTTGGGACGAAACCTATCACGTGGCAACTTGATAGGACAGCCACATGGTGGGTCTAACAACTTCCAATTTCCGCAAAGTGCAGTCACGTCTATATTAAAGCTTTAGGAATTAATTAAACTGGATGAATATTAGGAGTATTATTTATATAATGGTGTCACAAACCTGAAAATATGATAGTGTTATTGATCTCACCAATTTGTTTCCCACCAGCTAAAATTCTAGCCATCCTGGGGGAATGGGTATAATTAAATATATAATACAAAATGTTGCCCTACAAATCGATTTTGATGTTTTCTCATTGGAAAATTCATTTCGCATTTTCTTTCATTCTTTTTTATGTTGTGAAAATTATGCTTACTAAATGTGACAATAATATTATTATTTTTTTTCTTTTTATAATAATATTGTATTTACTGTCAACAACAATGATTACCCTGCTTACTGCATTATAACTATAACGTTCTTAGATGGACATCTCCAAGCTTTATTGGTTAATTGAATCAATGTGTTCCAATCGATCGAGTCAAGATGAATCATCGCAAACTAAGTATAGATATATCACATATTGAATTCTAAAGATTGAGAAAGCCTAGATTATGCCGATAAATGGATATTTGAGAAGAACTACAGAATATCGATAAAGGATTTCGGCTGATGGATGATATAAATCTTTAATTAATTATTTATTAAAGTAATAATACATCAAAAAAATTTCCTCAAGATAGGCATGATTGTTTATAATGTGATCGACGAATCCGACACAACAAAAAACAGTCATATGAGGGGAAGTTTTTGGAAGTTGAGAAGTGGTTAGGCCTCTCAAAAAATGATTGAAGCTTTTCTTCATTATTGCTTTTGTCAGAAAGAATAAATAAAGAATCTCAAACCAAAAAGAAGCCCTCGTGAAGAAGAAACAGTTCCATGCAATAATGCTGCTATCTGATGATATACACATATATCCATTCCCCCATGTATATAATTATTATGACTAATTGCTTGATTACTGATCAATCTATCTAAATAAGATGAAATGATCAGCAATTAGAGCATATCTCAAAGGAAAGATTCTCATCGTCATTAGCTACAATGATTAGCAATTATAGTCGTAGTTAGGCATCCAATAAGCAAAGATGAAAGCCATAATGATGATGGTTAGCAATGATTCGAAGATGTTTATAATTATGAATTTAAGTACATAGTAGGTAAATGGATAAACAAAAAGGCGACGACTAAGTTAATATAAGTATTGCGAAGTAATATATTTAAATATAAGATCGTGAAACCGCTATATTTTACCAATCGTAGTTATTATTGTTGTTAACACACGAGATATGCATAATGCGATAGTATTTATTAAGAATTATTCATTAAAAACTTGATATCGTTATTTTGGGACGAAAAAGAATAGAATATCGGCAAAATATCCTCCTCTTCAATGTGCATGGTTGGTTAGGAAAACTGGAAAGAGAAGAATCCATGGTTTAGGAAGCAAATGTTGGTGCATGTGGGAGAGCCATGTGATGGACATAAAACTATTTCATCAACCTCCATTTAAGATTTCATCAACCATATATATTATTCTTCAACTTCATCATCATATTATAAACTCGAAACAAAACCCCCCCGTGACCAAATCATTGTAACTTTGAACAATGCATCTAGAACAAAAAGCCATCAACATAAATATTAAACTTGATTGTATGTTGAAGAATTATTCCAAACACTTTGGTGTTTTGCTGATTAATGGAAACATACATTATGGTCAAACCAAACTCCACTGTTTGGGAAACACCATAATCCTATCAAAGTTTTAAAAGCCATGGCGGACCTATCTGTGTGGTCGGGTTCACTAAATCTTCGTGAGATCACGAAAAAAACTTCTAGACTGTGGTCTCATTAGGTCTCGTAATAATTGGATTTTTTTTTTTCCGAAGAACTTCAAAATGTTGAAAAAGGAAGGAACCCTAATGTGACAAAAAAAAGTTTTTTTTCTTTCTAGGGCATTTTTTTAGGTCCTCTCCAAGCATTATATTGTGAAATTATTAACATACAATTAAAGACCATTGTCAAGGCCAACATAATTTATTTGCCCACATATACAAAATAATACTTAATATTTGTCTTCGTTGTATCACTTGAATTTAATTCGAAGTCCCATCATACAACAACATTGAATTGAAAACATTGTTTTAGCACACTGAAATGTTGGTCTCCTTCAAGGCAAGAATTCACATGTTCTAAGGTTTGGACAATGACCACTCTTCCATTTGATATGTGGCCGTAGTTGTGAAAAACAAAAGCTTCAAATTGGTACAACAAAAAAAACCATGTCTTCCAAGCTGAATAAACCCCACATGCCGCTCCATCCCCTAGTCTATTGTGGACCAAAAATACCTAAAAAACAACTAAAAGCTTCTAGGCTATAGCTAGGTCATCAATCAATGGTATTCCCATTGGCCAAATGGAGGCTATGCACTTTATGTGCATTCAATTTTGTTCTTGCAATGTAACATGATGAGTTCTTGCAGCTCTAATAAATCTAGGTTTTAGCTTTTTTGTTTCCTCATGATTTATCTTCGTATCCATATTCTTCATTAATGCAATTTGAATTTTCTTGCTAGACGAATATTGTGGTTATCTGATCATCATTTACTTCGAGCAAATAAACAAGAGTAAGGATTACATAAAAAACAGTGATTAAGAAAATCTAAATTCATTTAGCAAAAGGTTCAATAAAAAATAATTAATGTGATCAAATAAGTGAAGATACCTGACTCCATTTTATAAAAGGCGATATGTGAGTAAGATGCACGTTTCATACCTATTCTGAGCGTTCATCAGTTACTGAATTGTTTCCTCGATTTCATAAGAGTTGATATGTTAGTAAGATGCACGGTTCATACCTATTTTGAGCGGTCATCAGTTACTGAATTATTTCACTGATCATATTCATTATCTGTACAAAAACAAAGAAGTTTGAAAACCCAACCCTACCTCTTCCCCCTCCACAAAAACTAAGGACCAAAAAATTAGATAAAGGACACCCACACCATCTTTAAATTCTTATACACCTTGAAAGTCATTTAAAAAATATTCATTATATAACAGAATTGGAAATATGCATGGGGGGTAGTTCATGGCGTTATTAAAACAAAAAAAGGCTAAGCAAACACACTACAAGATCATGAGCCCGAATCGGGATTTATCATGAAGCGCAAATTAGGCAAGTGATGATGGCCTCTTTCTTCAAATTGATTTCGTTTGTACAAGCAGAGAAAATGACAATGCAATTCAATCTTCTCCATCACTCATGCATGATACATTATACATATAGTTGTTGTAAGCTTCTGATAAGCGCCATAAGCTTTTACCTTTTTTCTGGTTTGGATATAAATGGTGTCTTCTTCTTTTTTCTGTTTTTGGTTACCATCATGGTGGCACATTTCACCGTGTTCCTCAGAATTTGGTACGATAAATTGAAGGCCTCAAATTTCCAAAGTCAAGCTTTCGTTTTTCAAAAAAATTACTGTATTTAACTTTTTTTTTCTTTTGATATAATGACATAGACAAAACGTTTTAAATAAATTTATGCTGGCACAAGTCACAATTAAGAAATCCCTTTTACCCTATTAAAGCAGAATACATGATGTTGATGTGGCAACTTCTTATTAAAAATTTTGGCTCCAAATGCACCATATTGCATTAACCATTCTGCCACGTGTCATCCCTTTTTAAAAGAGAAAAAAAATTCTTATCTGGAGAAACAAAAGCTACTTTACAAAAATAGCTACACAATCTTAACTCCTAACATTTATCATTTATCAATTAAATTAAAGTAGCATTTAAATTTGACCATAAACTTATCCCCTTTATTACTCCACATTCTTTTGTATGATTTCTGCATCGTTGTACTTTTTAATATTTTTCCTCTTTTGACAGATAATT